TTACAATCACTTTGAGTTTCTCGGGAGCAAATCTGACAGAGTAGAGACTGGTTCATTGTGTACGATGGTCCACCGAAAGAGCTCCATGGCGCTAGTCACTATTTGCCATGTAGTGTCGCCCCTGGGTGCACAGTGAACGCGATCTGGGTGAATTCTAACATGGACCTTACAGAAATTCCTGCTGATACTACGGCCGATGTCTATTATTAGTTAGCGGGTGTTGTGCTTGACCCAATTCTGCGTAAATGTGTGCTTTGCCCCAATGATGGCTCCATGTATCAAGTTTCGCAGAGGCGAGGATCGCCCCGGTTGAGACACAAGCACATGTATAAATTGAGTCCAAAGTCAGCGCAGTCCCTTTTTTCTTTCGAACGCAGATGAAAATCAAGACGCACCCTGCTTTCGCGGCTGAATACCACGTGCGGCTCTATTTTTACCGCTGAAGGTAACTTCTGCATCACCGGCTACACACTGTCAGTTCTCGTGCGGTAATCTCGTTATTACAATGAAAGCAAAGTTAATCGCGGTTGCTCTGGCGAACGCTGCGTGGGTTCAATCCAAACGCTGGCTGAGTTTGGCCGATAGACTTGCTAACTCGCTCAACTACGGCAGCATTGTACTCGGCGGTGTTTACAAAGGCTACATCTGTGTGATGTCTAATGGCGCACAGAATCCTTCAGACAACATGTGCTGGCAAGCTTATGGAACACCTCTGCCCGGTTCTCCCGGGGTGGTACGTCTTTGCCCGCCATACACCAACAAATGCAAACGGACAACGCTAACGCGATGCAGTGCTGTATTTCGAACTCAATCACCAAACAGAGTTTTGATGAAGGCTGTGCCAATAACGGTGGGAAGACTGGGATTCTGAAAGATTGTTGAGGTTTCTCCGTGTAGCTAAATCATATGGTTCGGTAGCTATTTGCCTACTTCGGCAGATATTTACCTAAGTCGGTATGAAGTTGCCCGATCAGGATCGCTCGACGAGTCAGTCTTCATTAGATAGGAGAAGCCTTTGATTCGCAAAGATTGTCCGAAAAGTTTCATTGGCATTATGGGGTTTGTGATACTGCTGGGAGAGTCCGCTCCCCCGGTATTTTCACGATTGACGTGTGATGAGTCGAGGCGGAATTGATAGGATGAACTAATCCAGTCGGGGCCAAGCAGCAACTTGCCGGCGACCGCTTCCACGCTTCCCTGACTAATGTAGTATGAATGACAACTGCATCCGCAATATAAATACATCCAAGACGTGTATCTATAGAACGATGCGGTCACTGTGTGTGCGTCTCCACTGCTTGTATACACTCACGACGAATATTGTTCCTCACGATGAAAATTTCTATAGTTTCTGCTCTGCTGGTGCTAAGTCTAACTGGCAACGCCATGGGTGCATGCAGAACTCGTACTAGACGCTGCGTGAGTATCTGTCTGGTCTCCAAACAGGCTTCTGAAGGGTGTGCTAATCGCGCTGTGGTTATCTTAGTCGCCTCAGCTAGTCTGTGATGCCATCTTGAAACCTGGAGCCTTCCCTTGTGCAACGAAAGAACAACCAGACCCTCAGTGTACGCAAGTCGTGGGTGATGGGTACACCGCCGTTCAAGTATGATTTTCTATCAAGCCATCCAAACATTTTTGCCGACATGTATCTTAACTGTTTCGTGTAGTGCGTGTGTTGCGACCGCTGAGTGGCATGCCGAGTGAAGCCCTTGAGCTATATCATGGCCTAGGACGATGTTGGACAGTTTGGTTGCGAAGTACAATACCCAGCTACCGCCGGCGCATGCAGGATGACCATGACAGAGAATGAACCTATACATGTAAGACCACATGGGTTCGGAACTTTTGACCATGTATTAGAATTTAGCAACATACCAACGTACTTGAAGATAGATTATAGTTGCACCGTCATGTAGCTCAATTGGCAACTGTAACCTCTGTAAGCCCTCATCGACGGAACCCCATTTTACATGCCCAGTCTCAAAGCGTTACAGGCGCATAAAACTTACCAATCATCACAAACACTAAGGGTACCTGGGCTTGTTGAATGGATCAAATCAGTTTGATGGTCCTCTATTTTCAATGCTTTGGTACTTCCGTCGACCAATTGCACACCCCTCTGCCTCTCGGATCACGGTAAAGAGTCATCACTTAGAGCGGGGCTCTGCGAGCGTCCGGTTGCCAGCGACACTCAACTTACGAACGCAAGTAGGATCTAGTAGAACGCGCTATCGTCGAATTTCAGCTTGCTTAGACATTTTACAATCAAGAGAGACGAGATGTCACTGGCTCGTCATAATTGCAACTCCGGCTCGGTTCGGGTCCACGTTCTCGGGTCGGCTGCTGCCACTCAAGCTACCTGGAGCGGGGAGCCGGAGGGGGCGAGATACCACCATATGTAAATTACAACTGAAGATGACCATTTACTTTGCTTCGTTTTTCCTCTTTCATCATTTTCTCAGGTAGCCGCGCAGTCTTAGCTAGCAAGTTCCATCATAGTAGATGCACGTTGGCCTACCTTTCAGCCATACGTAAGATGCGTCTTTCGGTCTGGGTTTCCTTGGCAATGTTGCCAGTTCATGTCATTGGCCTCCAGGAAAACACATCATATACCAATCCCATCCTTCCAGGGTGGCACTCGGATCCCAGTTGCACATTCGTGCCTGAATGGAATGACACGGTCTTCTGCACGACATCAACATTCATGGCCTTCCCTGCAAATCCAGTTTATGCCAGCAAAGACTTTGTGAATTGGAAGCTCGCCAGCAACGCCGTCAACCGAGTGTCTCAATTCCCAGTAATTCGAAGCGGAACTCAAGGCAATGGAGGAGGAATGTTCGCCAACACGCTGCGTTACCACAATGGCACCTTTTACTTGATCTCAACCTGGGCCAGCGCAGAGCTAGGAGGGCCCAGATTCGTCGTGTTCACCACCACGGATCCGCACGACGACCTTGCCTGGTCTAACGCCATATGGCCTCAAACACCTGGTTACACGATTGACCCGGACATCTTCTTCGACGATGACGGCTCCGTGGTTGTTGCGTCGGCCGGAGAACCCATTATCGCCGCTTATCTTGACCTGACTACTGGAAACACAAGCGAGCCATGGGAACTTTGGGCTGGTACTGGCAGCCAAAGCGCGGAAGGGCCACACATTTACAAACGCGACGGATATTACTACCTATTAATTGCGGAGGGCGGGACACAGCTGAACCATTCTGCAACTATGGCCCGATCAAAGAGTCTCAAAGGACCCTGGGAAGCAGCACCTCGTAATCCATTAGTCTCGAACAGGGGCACCGGTAATTACTTCCAGACTGTTGGACATGCGGATCTTTTTCAGGATGCACAGGGGAATTGGTGGGGTGTTGCATTATCAACACGTGGAGGTTCGACATTGTACAAGGAGTTGATCTATCCCATGGGAAGAGAGACAGTTCTCTTTCCACTCTTCTGGCCTTCTGGGGGTTGGCCGGTTGCGGACCAAGTTCAAGGTCGGATGAGCGGTCCTTTGCCGAGTCAATCATTGATAAGCCAGGGTATCGGACCTGTGGTAGGCGAGCCGGACGTGGTAGACTTTGTGGCAGGATCCGAATTTCCTTCAAATTGGGTGTCTTGGAGAGCACTGTTCGACGCAGCCTCCTTTTCAATCTCTCCAGCAGGCCACGAAAACACACTGCGCCTTACTGCGTCACGCGCCAACCTCACTACCGATCCTAACTTCAACACCAGCACTGAGGGCGTGACTGCACTCTTCCGCAGACAAGAACACACATACTTCAACTTTAGCGTTGATATTCAGCTCGGCTTCGGGAAGTCCTCCGGTGACGAGATGGGCATCTCTAATTTCGGCACCCCTGATCAGCACGCCGACCTCGGCATCGTGTACTTGGAGGACGTCTCTGAGTCTTCAGGGAAGCTCAAGCCGTACTTGCGAGTGCGAGCTCGTTCGGTGAACGCTTTTACAGCACCCGAACCGACAACAGCTCCTGTTCCCGAAGGTTGGCTTGGGGACGCAATCCGACTGCGAATTTCCCCGAGAAATGAGAGTCACTATGAGTTCTTCGCCTCCTCGGTCGGTCAAAGCGGTAAAGAGGAGGCGGTTGGGTTATATAGCACGGCCCTATTATCTGGTGATGGTGCGGGAACCGGAGGCGTACTGGGGATCTACGCAACTACGAACGGAGGCAGCTATCCATTCGAAGGTTACGTGAGCAGATGGCGATATCAGCCTGTCGCCCAGCAGATTGGCTACAACTCCACGATCTTCGTACCAACTTGAACAGTCACTTGACATACCAGATAGCACGTCTGCAATGGACTCAACGTTTCAAACGGGATTCCAGACCTTTCTTCGAGTCGTTTTAATCATTGCCTATTCCGGAACTTGCCAAACAGATTCCCCGGCTTGTGATGCCATCATGATGACACATGTACGTTCAACAGTTTTCGCATGACAATAATCAGAATTTGACAAGCCATTGGCAATCAAACGAAGCTTGAATATGTTCAAGATTAAAACGCTCTGCAGCTTTGAGCTAATTTTTGAACACAAGTGACAACGACCATACCGCATCTGTCGCCCTTCGGTACTGCTATCTGTCCGCTGATTTATGCCATGGGAGCGGGAAAATTGAAGGAGAATACCAACAGATCAAGTGTCGCGTATTTTAAGTCTAAAACCCTAATTAGAACAAATTCATCCCATTGGGTTCACCTTGCAAGAGAAACATATCTGGTGTGGCACCAATACCTTGGGCCTCGGGCGGACTCAAGTGCCGACCTGTGCGAGTGGCCGGCACATCTTAATCCCTCCGATGCCGATGCCGATGCCGGATAACAGAGTGTGCGTATATATGCTGCGCCAGCATGATAAAGAAACAATAGAGATGATGCATCTTGACACCTGGGTAGAACATCGATGTTTTTCTTTTGGTTTCACTGTGAATGTCATTCATCATCCGCACCGCATCACCGCACATAAAGCTTCTATTACGATGGCAGAAACCATAGAGTGGTTCGGTCTGTCATTCTCTATCAGTCATATCCTATTATCAGCTTGCTAACGAAAATTCAGGGGCCACGACGTTCCGTTTGAAAGCCAACGGCCTTGTCATATTTCTTGATACATGGCTGGAGAAGCCCTACGCTCTCCCTAAGTACTTGGACATTAACGATGTTACTGAGGCGGACTACATATTCATCTCACATGCACACTTTGACCAGTGAGTGATGTTTTCATTCCTCCTCGTCATAGCCAATTCCCTGATCACATGCAGCCTACCAGGAGCCGACAGAATAGCAAAGAAGACTGGGGCCATCGTCATTGCCAATGGTGAAGCCATCAACCTGCTGCGCTCGGCCGGCGTTCACGAGTTTCAGCTCTTTCCTGTCGCAGGCGGTGAGCGAATTCCAATGTTCACAAAAGCCGATCGCGACGCCGCCGTGGCGGGTAAGATACCTCTCGCCAATGGCCCACCGGGAGCACCCGCAAGACCGCACCATTCGAGGGCAGTCATGTCCGTTCACGTGTGGCCCTCTTTGCATGCTCTCATGCCGGGAAGTGGACACCATGACATCCCGGACGAAATCGACACCGGAACAGAGTACACAGGCGAAGCAACACCATACGTCTGCACCCTTGACGTGACCATGGGTATGAAATACGCCCTGATGAGGCTCAAGGAAATAATACCTCCCGACCAGATGGATGAGGGTACCCGATCAATGGCAGATTACATGGAAGATCGAGATCGTCATGTCTTCTCGAATTATGATGGAGGCCAACTGGCGTACAACTTCCTTATTGGTCCTGGGAAAACCTTGTTCTGGAACGGACATTTGGGAGGCTATGAAGGGATCCTGAAAGCCATTGAGCCTGCTCCAGACGTTGCGATCCTCGCCATTGCAGGGAGAGCAAACCTCAATGGGCGGCCCTACGACGGGTCTGCTGCTTCATTTGCCGTAGATGAGATTCGGTGGCTTTCGCAACCAAAGAAAGTCTACTGGTGTCTACACGATGAAGGGTAGGTTCACAGTGCAACTTGATTCGAACGTCACTGACAATCTGATACTTTCTAGAGCGATTAAGCCATTTCGAGTAAACACCGCCGCAGCGACCGCGATGGTTCACGCCAAGACCTCGACTAATGTGGAGGATTTGGCCCCTGCCACACTGGTAAAGCTGTTTTGACTGACCCTTACACTTCCGGGCTGGCGATGTAGAGTCCGAAGTGCTTGGGATGCGCTTCCTTGGACTTCACTGAGTGCACTTCAATGAGAGAATTTGTCGACCTCATGGCTTGTATATGCTGCCAGTAACATACTACCACAACATCGGGACGTGCTCCGAACGCTGTGGGTAGGTAGCCGGAGTCGTCCACTTGCCGACCTCCGAGGCGTCAAAGCGTGTTGGGGTAGAAGATGGACGTGAGAGCTGAAGCCTAAGGCGAAGCTTCAACCTTGTCACTGAGGCACATGTGTGGGGTAACATCCCGCGGCGGAGGTGGGGGATCTTCGCGGGGCTCGCAGCGAGGTATGAAACTTTGACCACCAGTTGCCTCGTTAGATCTTTTTAGGCAAGAAGATGTTGATGCCGAATATGAATGCCGAAATATTGTGTAACACGGAATATGCTGTTGTCCGAGTTCGCCGGTGGTCGTAAATGCTCGTGTCCGAAGTCGTAGATCATGTCTTATATATATGGTAATAAACTAGATAACTCCTGACCACCGAAACTTTCAGAAAAGTCAAGAGATCAACAAGATGGCTGTACCATTCAAAGTCATCATCGCTGGTGGAGGACTTGCCGGCTGTCTCCTCGCCAATGGACTGGTCAACAATGGTGTCGGTGTGTCGGTCTACGAGCGGGACGAGGAAGACACAAAACGAGAAGGATTCCAAATTCGGCTCGGCGAGAGCGCGCTGGCAGGGTTCCGGGCTTGTCTGAAGCCATCCGAAATTGCAACAATTCAGTCGAAGTTCAGCCAAATGTCATCGACAGGACTCACCGCACCAGCGATATGTAACACGAAGTTCCAGACCCTGCTTGATCTCGGGCAGCTGCCTTCGTACGCGGCATCGTGGGGCATCAATCGGGTGGTCCTCCGCGATATTCTAGTCAACCCACTGAAAGAAAACGGGTGTCTTCACTTCGGGAAAGCCTTTGAGGGATACGAAATTATTAAAGATGTGACCGGGCAAGAAACGGTCCGAGTTCACCTCGCGGATGGATCCACGGATACATGCGATTTATTGATCGGGGCAGACGGCAGCAATTCTAGAGTACGATCTCAACGGTTCCAAGTTTTATTCTACGGAAGTACTGAGCTAAATGGTCGCAGATCAATAAACAGGTCGGAGCTCGCAATCTGGTCCCGGTCGACAGCCATGTGATGATTCTCAGCAAAGGACCGTTACCACAGGACTGGACTGAGAAGCTGCCACCAAGGCTGCTAAAAAGTCCAGTCATGGTATGGGCAGGCGGCATTTCTATGTACTACGCACGTAAGCCTCAAGCCCACACAGTGTCCTGCTGCGTGCATGACTGACCCGTGTTTAGTGTTCTTGCCAAAGGCTGAGCAGCCAGCCGATGATTCAGAGAGCGGACCAAAATATAACGTGAAAGAGGCTTCCTTTTACTGGGGGCTTCTGATTCCGAAAGATCGAGTGCCGAACCAACAGGAACTATCAGAGATGCAGGACCCACTCCATATTTGTCTTGAGGCTACCAAAGACTGGGCGCCCGAGTAGTATGCGCAAACCCCTTGACAAGCTAGATATATATCCATGTTCTAACAATCATAGCCGCACAATGTTGACGACTGGGTCGGAAGACAAGAACAAGGATTTAGTTACGGCTACAAGATTACGCGCAAGCAACAAACTGCCAAAAACATGGCGCAAGAACGTCAAGAAAGCAACTGGAGACGAGGGTCATCCTCGCGTATGGCTCGTCGGAGACGCAGTTCATGCAATGCAGCCAAACCGGTAAGTTGATGGTCCTTGGACCAGGAACTCACGTCACACAAGCAATTGCTCACAAGGTTTAGGGGTATGGGAGGCAATCAGGCATTCCATGACTGCGCTGATGCACTTCCTCGAATTCTCGAGTTGAAGGAGAAAGCCCAGACTGGAGAGGGGCCATCCTCGGAAGATGTCAGCACGGAGTGTAATCGATATGAAAGTGCGATGATCGACAGAGCCTTCCCTTGGGTCAGCAAGAGTGGAGGCACGAACGTTCCCGTGAGTTATCTCCCGTAATATCTTACAATTTTCTACATGTCTAAACGGTTCGTATGAAAGACTGTCAACCTGGACGGCATCCTCGGTACGATTCTGTGGATCATTGGCACTTTCTTGGTGTCTGCATACATCTTTATGGCTCGAGTAATGAAGCTTGGCGTCAGGAGTGGATGAGATAGAGTCATCAACTAGAGAGGTTGCATTACCAATGGTTTTAGCTATTTCCATATGATCGAAGCTTCGAAGCGTGCATTTATGAGGTTGAACCTCTTACTCAACTGCCAATAATTTCACCCTTCATGCAAACCGTGCTGCCCTTCTCCACTAGAACCTCGTACGTCTTATGTTCCACAGACGCCGTGCGGATTGTGTACTCATCGCCGGCGTAGAGTGGCGACATTGCTCTATATCCAACTTGTCGCACTTCCCTGCCGTCTTGCCCGTAGACATCCCTCCAGTAGTCAAGCATGTTGATCAGGTTCAAGGGTCCATGGACCACAACCTCGGGATGCCTCTCAATATCCTTCGTCCAAGGCTCGTTGTAGTGGATCATATGGCCATTAAATGTAAGAGCCGAGAACCGGAAGAGGCCAACGGGTGACCATCGAAGATGCCGAAGGACACCGCCGTCTGAACCATTCTCATCCGTGATGGTTGACGCCCCAAAAGACGGTTGCCTGTTAGCTCGCGGAGGAGCAGTCTTCGCAGCCAAAGAGACGTTGACTTCGGGGCGGAAGATCCATGACCTAGGAACTTGTAAGTCATCTAAAGAAGCAGGGTAATATTGGTGGCGAGGACAACGTACCTCTGGTCCTTAACAACCAGCCCATCCCGTCCCCAAAACTCCTTTTCGACATCCACGAGAACCATCTCGTCACCGCTGCGGCTCTTCTTCGGCGTAGCGCCAACAAGCCTCGTGCGCTCTTCAACCTCTTCGCCAACTTTCAGCGAGGTCCCCTCAATGAACTGCATCTTCCCGCCAGCCCACATCCGCCGCGTGAACGGTGCTGGCGCATTGAACGTCTTGTCCGTCCCGTCCATGCCCAATTCGCGTTCGACCCCTGTTGGGGTGAAGTAAACAAGGTGATACCCTGGTGGAAGCGGCGTGCCTTGCTTGGGCGGTTCAGCGGAGACGTCGATTCCCGCATGCAGCTGCTTGCGATTGAGTGTCAAGCTGAGGCGCTGCAACTGATTGGAATCGAAGAGTTGTTTGCGCGTCACATCTTTCCCGGCAAAGGTCTGGAGGAGTTTTGATGCCGCGTCAGTTGCATTGGTGGTTATGGACCTCCTACCGTGTGGTGTACGGCGTGAGATTGCTGGTCGTATCTGATGAGCAAGGGAGGCCATGTTGGCGGTTGCAGGTGCGATTGGTGTTGAAGTCCAAGTGCGGGATTGAAAGAACAACAACAATTGGATCGTTGGGAAGGCAAGAACACATGCAATAATCTCGAAAGATATCAAAGCCGACTAATGTCCGTCATCCGACGTCAAGCTTTCATCTCGGCGAGTAAAGCCCGGAATGGGGAGAGCGCGCGCCGAGGAACCATCCCAATTGGGGAATGGACTGAGCACAGTGTGTTGATCGCGGGGTCTGTGGGGTAAGCGGGCTCTTCGGTTATATGCTCTCGGCTTCTTCTTCCTGCAGGTGGCTGAAGTAGCCGCGTCGCGACCCTCGGCTCAAGAAGCCGAATGTTGCCATGATGCAATCAGGGTTTACGCGCTTCTGGCCAGGGCAGCTACACGGGGAAAAAAATGAATGCTTAGAAGGCATTTTCTTTCGTTCTTTGACTTTTAAATCCGCTAGGCCAATTCCGGGGCGTCATCATAGGCACCGCTGCAAGAAGTTGAGGCCCTCGACTTGCATTGGACCGTTGGCGTAGAGTTGCGGGTCCAGGAAGAGGCCGAGATCACCAAGGGCATGCTCGCCTTCCCAATTGGTCTGCATCAGGTTAAAGTATTGGTCCTCTATTGCGTCCGATCTGCTTTGCTCCACGGTGTCTGTGGAAAGATTCTGGGGTGTGCTAGCTGTGTTGAACGGGCTCAGGCCTGCCGTGGATCCTGATGCCCCATCAGCTGCCGCAGCATCGGCGTCTTCGTTGTAGATTCTCTTGGCAATGGGCTTGTCGAGATATTGTAAAAAGAGATCCAAGACATTGTTGTTGATGCGCCAGTAGTTTTGAATTTCTTTCAGTCCTAAATGACACATCTGGGCTCTGTGAACTGCGAGCTGGCGACCGATCCCATCGGCCGACTTGATGTCGATAGCGTGAATGCAGAGAGCCGCGAACAGGCTTGTAAGTCTGAGATATTAGTGAAAGCGTCTAGAATTAAGAAGAAATAGCGCTCACAAATGCATTTGGCCGTATTGCAAGGTTTTCTGTGCGAGCATGTCTTCCGCTATCCTGCTGATTCGACAGGCAGCTGCGAGGGCGGCCTTTTTATCCTCTTCGTCTCGGTTTCGAAGCCATCCATTTCGATGGACTAGGATGCGCAAGTGACTGTGAAGCTCATTAGAATTTCAGGGACGTTTCATCATCAGTGTTCCGGCCATACTTGTAGGCAAGATGAATGAGGCATGTCAGGACTGACGATTGCCCCTCCTCGGGTTCTCTCCTCAATTCTTCTGGCAAATTCTGCTTCCACTGCTCGAGTTGTTGCTTCAGGTCGCGCACTTCACCTGGTGCAGGAGGACCACGGCCCGGCGCAAAGTGAGTATCTGTTATCCTTCCGACTTTACACCTGTTAGTTAAATAGCATCAGGAGTCAAGCAGCTCTGGTCAGCTTACGTAGCCTTGCTATGTCTACCATATTGATAGCGTAATGCACATGCTCAGATTCGGATGTGCCAAACGCTGTAGCTGGTTGCTCATCCGTGTCGCCCTCCAAATCAGAGGCGGTCAGAGGCTCGATGTCGCAGTCTTCATCTCGTATTCTACATGGAAGTCCCAGAGATATCGCCGCTTGCCTTTCTCTCACCTTCAAGGAGTTAGTTAGTGAAATCTCGACAGTGTTGAGAAACAGCTTACGTAGATGGACCACCAGACTCTTCTTCTCATTCGGGCAAACTGAGGTTCTCTTGTAATGAAGCGTGTTCTTTACGATCGTCAGCTTGCCCCAGTATTGAACTCACCTCCGTTGACTTACGATCTATGGAGGCCATGTGTCTGCGCAAGAGTCAAGACACATCCCAGCCAGTATCGGACATCCCTCCAGTCGGTAGGGCCGCCCCTCCAAAAGCTGCAAAGGAACAGAGATTGAATAAGCGTGAATTCGTCTTTTTCCCAATTGGAGTGAAAAAGAATTCTTGCACGTGAATATGTCACACTCTTCGCTTCTGAGCGATCTTTGAACCCCATAGCTGTAATGGTAGCATCATCGCAGTATGTCGACCCGATGAAGAGCATCGCCTGTAACAACAGTGGCGAGATATCCATCATCGCAAGCCTTCGCGCCACGTCCGCGCGATCCAGTATTGGGAAGCACGGGTGAAACCATTTGAAGTATGCGCGAAGGGCAGGCAGACAGCTCTGCATATCGGGAAAGGTCAAGGCCCCTTCATCCCTCAGGTATCGCTCCGTAGCCGAGCTGATATTGTTGATACTCGCAGGCGAAGTCCCCAAATCTTGCGATTGAGGTGTCTGGGGGACTGGAAAGGCCAAGCGACCCTTCAATACAGCGTCTCCCGCAGTCGCGTCGGACCCCGGCTCAGGGGCACCCGGCACGAGGGTGAGGAAGTTGGACTCTCCGAAGAAGCGGCTACTTCCTGTGCCAGTTGCAGAATGTGACGACGCGGGCGTCTCAGCATGAAATGGTGTTTTTGATGCGCCCGAATTAGAAAGACCTCGAGACGGTGAAGCAGTGCTCATAGAGGCAAGGGTTGCCGCCACAGCGGACGTGAGCGCCGAGGGCGGAGCCGGCATGACAGGTTCCGGAGTGAAAGACGCTGCATCTTCTGATCGCTTCTCCTTCTTTGACTTCCGTGGATACCTGCTGCCTTGTTATCATTTTGATTGAGAGGAACAGTGATTGCGCAGTTCACTCGCCTGCCTCTTCTCGAGGGAAGAACTTCGCATGTCGCGTTCGAGCTCTCACAGTTTGAACAGGGAAGACGCTCTGTGACGTTGCAGCGAATTCGTCGTGAGTTGCACTCTTTGCACGCGTGCTTTGCGCGGGGCTTTTTGAGGCCTTCTGTGGGCATTGTAAGTTGACTCTGGCCACCCGCGATCGCGTCTTAGAATGATGGAATGGGTATCATCGGATTGTTTATTCGTCAAAGACGGGACCAAAATTCATCGCTCAGCGCCACAGTTCGAACTCCACAGTGTTGGATGGCGCACTGTACCCACATGGACCACATTCTCGGCTATTACATCCGTGGTGGAATCCGGGGGTCTTCTACTGGCAGCTACTCCAAGATGGATTGGACATGATACATCATCTAATATGACTTTACCTTCTCCTTGTCCAACTAGAACGATGACCATATCAAATTCACCGAATGGAGGTAGTTTCGGCCCCGTGAAATGTCACGGACGTGGGGGGCGGAGCTTAATAAGAGGTATTACTTCGGAAGCCGGTGCCAAAGAGTCAGCCCGGTAAGTAGCGTGGTCAATAGGTGGCTGCATGAGGATGAAAGAATACATGCCCGGGTCAGTAGTTTTGTACATTTCAGTACCAGGAAAACCTCAGAATCAACAAGCAGTACTAGAACCCTTGAATTCACATCGACGCACTGCTGCTCTCTGAGGCAGTGCGCAAATGACATCCACTTCAATGGTGAATTAATCTTGTGTCCCCAAATAATTCCCTGCATTGTAACAAAATGGCTATGCAAGGCAACAAAGCTCGAATGCGGCTGATGATGAAAAAGCCACGTCCAAAAGCCTTCGTATTATCTACTTATCCGCCCACATTCATACAAGCGAGGCTGCTACCCTGACAACAGCTGCAGAACGAAGTTGTGGGCTTACTGCCCGTGTCGCAGAGGAACTAATGGCGCGAGACACATGGTCAGTCATAATCTAACATAACTTTTTCTGATTAGAGTCTTACATTGGAGGTTGAAAATGAGTTGCCACCGCAGCAGCTTTTGGTGACAGATTTGTGTACCGTGGAATCCATGGGATGCTCAGCATCGGTACAGAAAATGGGCCCTGCAAGTGAGCTGTAGCGGGACTGAAGGTTAGCCTCGTTCGATGAGAATGATCTAGGGCATTTCAGTGATTATTGTACCTTGCTCCGAAGAGCGCAACTGCCAAAATTGTTGTTGGCAACATCGTTAAAAGAGGCTTGGTGTCTTCTGTTGGTTAAAGCTTGCTTCTGATTGTAACACGGAGTTGGGCTCTCTTATATCTGCTTTTAATATCTTATCATCTTGGAACTAGTTATGTACAGAGGAGGAAGAACCAGCTCACTTTTTCTTGACTCGCCAAATCACTTCACGGGTTGTCGGCATGTTCTATTTCTCTAAAATACGGACATTCGTAGGTTGACTCGCCGGCACTTTCCTACCTCGGCACCCTTGTTTGAGTGGAAACCGGAGGCTCGCACATTGCCTCGCCGAGAGTTACTTGTCTCGACCAAAATTTAGTCTCTATGCAGAATCTTTTAATTAACATGGGTGTATTTAAACTTTCAGTCTTCAAGCCAAGACATCGCCTATTATACGCCAGTGTGTGTTCTTCGGTCCCATCCTCAATCGCGAGTACTTGCCTGACTCCGGACTCAATTAGAGATGAATAGGCAGCTGCAGCCAATCGTTCATCAATCAAATTCATCTCAAAGTTTTAAGACGAAGTCCCCTGACCCCCTGCTCGAGGTCTACCATGTCTTCATAATACACAAATAGATACACAATGTGCAAACGTTCAAGGTTGGTCTGCCTTCATGTCATTGTATAAAACGTATCATTACGTCTTTTTAAATCTTCGCCGTTTCTAGTAACTACGAGGCAATTGAAGGACCTTCTCTCCAATGTAGTTCAGAATCATCTCTCGACTAACGGGTGCAATACGAGGAACCAGGCACTCTCTGAAATACCTTTCCACATCGTACTCGGCCGCGTAGCCCATACCTCCGTGTGTAAGAACAGCTCTCTCGCAAGCCGTAAAGGCAGCTTCTGCAGCCATGTATTTGGCGCTGTTGCAAGCCACTCCAACTGCATCCTGACGAATGGACGAGTCCTCCTTGCTGGCGTCATACAGTCTTGCCGCGTGGTAAGTTGCTAGCTTCGCAGCCTCCAACCGCATGTACGCATCGGCGAGCGGATGCGCTATGGCCTGGTTCTGCCCGATCGGCCTCTTGAAGACCACTCGGTCCCGGGCATACTCCGCGGCCTTGGCTATCGCGGCGTAGCCCAGTCCCAACGCTTCACCGGCAAGCAGACAGCGCTCAGCGTTCATGCCGTGGAGGATAATCTTGAAACCCTGGCCCTCCTGGCCTATCAGACTGGAAGCGGGGATGGCGTAGTTGTCGAAGAAAACCTCGTTGGCGTCGACGGCACGGCCGCCCATCTTCTTGATCTTGCGCATGTCCAAACCAGGCTGAGAGCGGTCTAGGTCGATGCAGAAGAGTGAGAGACCTTCACTCGGCTTCTTACAGTCCTCGAAGGCCTTTGTGCGGGCGAGGAGAATCATCTTGGATGCGACTTGCGCGCAGGTGATCCAGATCTTCTGACCGGTAACCAGGTACGAGCCGTCTGGTTGCTTCTTTGCTGCGGTGGAGAGGCGTAGGGTGTCGAGACCAGCGTTTGGCTCCGTAACTCCAAAACAAGCCCTCCATTTGCCGGAGATGATATTGGGAATTGTGCTCTCGAGTTGTTCCTGGGTCCCAAATTTGGCAAGCGGCTGCGTCGCGTAGACGTTGGCGTGGATGGACTGGGCGCCGGCCATGCCTGCGCCGGACTCGGTGATGGTCTGCATCATCATCGTTGCCTCCGAGATTCCCAGGCCGGAGCCACCCAGCGATTCTGGCAGGGCAATACCGAGCCAGCCATCTTTAGCGAGGGCAGCGTGAAACTCTTTGGGATCATTCTCTGTCTGGTCGCGTTCTTGCCAGTATGTGTTGGGAAACTCGGAGCAGATTTGACTGACAGCTTCACGAACTGTCAGTTGGTTTTCTGTGAAGCCCGTTGTCTCCATTATCCTCCGGCGAGCTGACGTTGAGAAGGCCGCTGGGCGCAGGCATCCCGCCGTCCTGACCGCCGGTCGGGCAACGCGCCAAAGACTCCGAGCGAGAGATTGTGACATGATGAACAATACAGGAAATGATGGACCTGAAGCAGTTGATTCGCTGGATTGAGAGCAGAACGAATCCTCTGACTCTAAATAACAACATCCATTGATTCCAAACGCCGACTCACTTCTCTGAAAGGCATTTCAGGGCGACTTCAGACTCGGCAAATGGCCCCGACAGCATGCATTATTCCCGGGCATTTAACGACCGGAGTGAAGCCACTGAGTGGGTGATCAGCGGCCGGTGATTACGCTGTTCTGCATAAAGCCGAATGGGCAAAGAAGTAGCCGATTTGATGTGCATGCACTGACGCCGTCACTTGTTCCTGTCGGTGAACTCGTCCAGCACAGCAGCTGATGGGATCTGGTCGCTGGAGGCAGCTTCATGATGAGGAGGACTTAGAAAAGTCATGCCAACCCCTAATGCACGTATTACTTCGGGATTTAAATTCCCAGGCCAATCAATCCTTACTTAGCACCATCTTCCTCCTTCGCTGAAGACCATTTGCTTTCACCATTACCTCTGAACACCCCTTCCTCCAAAACAAGATGCCGTCAGGACGTGCCGCTCTGTCGCTCTTGGCTACCAGGGCATCTCCATGTCCGCCCAGAGGCGCATGGCGTATCAAGCCCGCCATGAGACCAGCGAAAGCTTTCGTGCGATCTGCAATCCAGCAAAACATCGCCTTGAGAACCATGGCATCCACAACATCAAAACCTGAGAGAGAGCCACTACCTCTTGAAGGTATCACCGTCGTCAGTCTCGAACATGCAATCGCTGCACCTTTCTGCACTCGTCAGCTCGCTGACATGGGCGCTCGTGTCATCAAGATCGAGCGTCCAGGTGTTGGTGACTTTGCAAGGGCATACGATACTCGAGTTAATGGTATGGCGTCACATTTCGTCTGGACCAACCGTTCCAAAGAAAGTCTATCACTCGATCTCAAAGACCCGAAACACTTTGAGGTCCTCAGGAAGCTTCTTGCCAAGTCCGATGTGTTGGTGCAGAATCTGGCACCGGGCGCCACGGAGCGACTTGGCTTGGGCTACTCAACACTCAAAGAGTCGCATCCGTCACTGATTGTGTGCGATATATCTGGGTATGGGTCAGACGGCCCGTACAGAGACAAGAAGGCGTATGATCTTCTCGTACAGAGTGAAGCGGGCTTCCTCTCTATTACTGGCAACGGTCCGGACCCAGCGAAAGCGGGCATCTCAATCGCCGATATCTCAGCCGGCATGTACGCCTATTCCAACATTCTGGCCGCCATTCTGAAGCGCGGCAAAACGGGCAAAGGATCACGGATAGACATCTCGATGCTCGAGAGCATGGTTGAGTGGATGAACTTCCCACTCTACTACACGTATAACGGGGCCCCGGGCTTATCCCGCTCCGGCGCCTCCCACGCCTCTATATACCCATACGGCCCATTTGAGACGGGTGGCGGAGGCTCGGTCATGCTTGGCGTGCAGAACGAGCGAGAGTGGGTTAACCTTTGCCGAGACGTTCTTGGCAATGAGGCTCTTCCCAAGGACCCAAAGTTTGTGAGCAACACCCTCAGAACGAAGAACCGTGATGAGTTGAGAAAGATCATCTGCGACGCTTTCGCCAAATTCTCAGCAGAGGAGGTCTTGCAGAAGCTAGATAAGGCGTCGATAGCCAACGCCAATGTGAATGACATGCAAGGCGTATGGGATCACCCGCAACTTAAGGCAAGAGGCAGATGGACGGATGTCGAGACCGGTAGTGGAAAGGTTCCTGCTCTAATCCCACCGGGTTTCGAAAACGTTGAAAGCTCGAGAATGGAAAAGGTCCCGGAGCTGGGAGAACACAACGAGTCCATCTTCAAAGAATTGGGTATCGAGCAGTGATGCGGTAGATTCAGGTAGCCGTTAAGACATATCGTTTGAGCAAACTCTCACTCGCCATGCCCCTAGTCATCACCTTGACCTACTAACACTCCAAGCTGGGGCCTTATCGCATCACGATCACTAATTCACGTCATTGATTGGCTTCTCACGCTGACCTACCTGAACCCCGCAGGAAAATTGTCGGCATCTTCGATTCTGAGATGGCTATTTGGAAACATTGAGCTATCATCCATGCTTTCCCCGCACGATGACCCCGTGGGGTGATGGCGACCCTGGTTCTAGCGGATAAGAAGCGCGGGGAATTAATCCCGAAGGATGCTCCAAGGTGGCATTGCTGGGTCCGTCTTAGGAAAGGTGACGGGGAAAAGGAGGCTTCAGTCCGAAGTATATCCTAAGGACCTTGATCAGTGAACCACTTTCCTTACTTGAAAGTTGCCTGTCGCTTAAGACCACATAGACAATTTTGTCTCTCGTATAATCACCCCCTTAGATCTTCTACTTCGACCAACCACTCGGTGATTATACCTCCATTGCCCAAGAGCCAGTAAGATGGCTGAGAAAACCCATGATGGCGACGGCACCTTTGACGTCCACGATGACATCGAGAACAGCAAGCCTTCGGACAGCCATGTCGAAAACATCAGGCAATCGCAACCTCACTTCGACATTGACCCTGTCTTGAGCAAGAAGCTCGACCGCAAGTTCGACTATCACATCATTCCCTGGCTTTTTGGTATATGGTGCGATCCCCAATATCATCCTGTCAAGTTCCTACACTGACACCTTTGAGGCTATTTGCCTTCATTGACAGAAGCAACATTGGAAACGCTAAGATCGATGGCCTTACCGAGGACCTCAACATCTCCACTGGAACAAAGTTCAACATAGCGCTCTTGGTATTCTACATCCCCTACATTCTTGTCGACGTACCGAGCAACTGGATTGTCAAAAAGGTCCGGGCGGGTATATATCTTCCGACTTTGATAACGTGCTGGGGCATAGTAAGCACTTTCCTCGGCTTCACTAAGAGCTTCGCCGGATTGGTAGTATGCCGTCTCTTTCTAGGCCTCTTTGAGGGAGGACTCCTAGGAGGCATTGTGGTATATCTCGCTATGTTCTACCGAAGACATCAGATGCTCTACCGTATTGGCTTATTCTACTGTGCAGCTCCTCTTTCAGGGGCTTTTGGAGGGTTACTTGCGACTGGCTTGGCTACGATTCGTCACGGTGGCTACAACAGATGGCCCTGGATCTTCTTCAGTGAGCGATTCCGATACTGGCTATATCCTTTTGCGACGAGGTGTGCTAATCAGCTTTAGTCGAGGGAATAATTACGACGGTATTTGGCATAAGATGCTTCTTTTTTATGCCGAGCACCCCGGCCGACGCGAGATTCCTCACCCCTGAAGAACGAACACAAGCCATGAAACGTTTGAGAGAAGATTCTCATGGGGCGACGAACGTTGAAGATGTTAACGACGAACACTTTAGTTGGCACTGGGTCAGAATGGCTGTGCTTGCTCCGCAGACATATTTCTGCGCCTTGGCATGGATCTTTCTCCTTATCCCGCTCTACGTACGTCTTCCTTCGACAGTTCGCTTGTCGGACCATCCATCTAACCTCTTTCCCAACAGAGCTTCTCGCTGTTCCTCCCGTCAATTATACAAGGCCTAGGCTATCGCGATACCACCCAAGCGCAACTTCTCACTGTGCCTCCCAACATGGCCGCCTTCTTCGTTGTTCTTTTGACAGCCAGCTTGTCAGACAGGATCAAGGCCCGTGGACCCATCATGGCTGTGGGGACTCTTGTTGCTCTTTGCGGATATGTCATGATTTTGGCGTCGAAGTCAAACGGAGTGAGATATGGCGGGACATTCTTGGTTGCAACTGGCGTCTATCCAGGGTCGGCAATGATTATGGTAAGTCTAAAGCTTGTTTATAACCGCTTCGACGAGAGATCTCTAACGTGGCTAGGGCTGGCTTTCGAACAATTTGGCGCCTCACTACGTTCGTGCCACTGGTGTGGGACTCCTCATTGGTTTAGCAAATATGGCTGCTTTTCCGGCAACATTCATCTATCTGCAAAAGAATGCGTAAGTTATCGGATGGCATCCGAGACTACAAGTGATATTGACCATCTGATGTCTAGTCCGGATTACATCTTGGGTCATTCTGTCTGCATCGGCTCTCTAATTCTATGCTTTGCTACTGTCTGCATTCAGATGTTGTACTGCAGGTGGGAGAACATGAAACGGGAAAGGGGTGATCGGGATAGCCGGCTGATTGGCGATCGAGTCCATCTTCTCGGCCATCGTCACCCAGCCTATCGCTACACACTTTGATTTTGAGGTTCAAAAGCCTGCATGATGTGGATAACGTACCTTAAGCCCTAAACATGGAACCATGCAGTATGGCGCTTGTCGAGTAAAGCAGCGATTGGGAAGCTCATGAACAAATCCAGGACCGTAGGTAAATGAGGGTATTCAATGTTGGAACGCAAGAGACGCCCGTTCATTTTCGTGCGGATTTCTGCCGCGAGAAGGTTGACAGGCAAGGCAATTCAGCCGGACTAAGAGTTAGGTGCATCAGAGATAGGACAACACCAGAGGTTTTATGTATTTCTATCTACTCGTTTAAGGAAAAAGGATTGAATTAGATGTCTCTAAATTTTCGAGCAACGCATCGACAAAGTGCTTATCCCGCCAGTCAAGGCGCTGTGGTTGGACGGTGAGCTCATAGCTCGTATTTTCCGTCACTGCGTCCTCCCAGCATCTCACAACTTCTGGATTGAGTGCAGACCTCCATGTTGTCCGGATATCAATGAAAGCTGGATATAGCTTACTGCAGCGAAGCCCATACCCAAAAAAGAATCCGACATAGTTTTCTGCGTCCCATGACCATATGATCATCTTCTCCAATTTAGGCATTCGCATTGCGGCCTTTCCAGCTGCGAGAAGAACGGTATCCATCATGTCCTCGTCAGATGATGAATTTGACAAATTGCAAGATAAGACAAGTTGATTCAGCTCAGGCCAGGCTTGTCTGAGAGACTCGTTGGGTATTCCCAAATCCCCCGTGCAACGGAAAAAGTCGAACGCATCAACTACTCGTGATGTAATCAAGGACTCGAGATGGAGACTCGCGTGGAAACAGGCGAGTGCAAGATCCTCCCTCTTCTCCGTGTACGGATTGTCCTCCTCTAAGAGGTATGCGGATTCTCTGACCACCATGCGTTTGACCCAACCCCTGTGTTTTTGGAATAAGGCCAAAAAGGCGTCGTCTCGCAAAGACTGGTCTTCTCCGAGTTGCGAGCAATGTGGGTGATATACCACTCTTGTCAGGTGGTTCATGCTCTTGAGCAGGATGCTCATAGCATTTGCTGAAGCGCTTCGCGTTGATTCAGAATGGAATATCCACAAAAGCTCATCCACAATAGGAACTAGCGGCAGCTTTTTCAGTTTGAAATCTAGCAGACTACCTTGCACCCTTGGGGGCCAGTCTTCAACATCGTCCGCGGACATGACGTTAATACGAAGCGCCAAACCATGGTCATGCTCTGGGCCGGTCCAGTTTGCCAAAACTTTAAAGAGCGAAAACACGGCCATCGTGAAAAGAGCATTGTTCCTCCGAATCTCCTTTTCGGTCTCGACCTGGACGTCGCCTGAAGAGTTTCCCGGAAGCTCGATATTGAGTACAATTTCTTCAACAAAAGTCCTGCGGTAGCCCTTCACCATCTCTCCGAGAGCCTCAATTTCAGCTGGAGAATTGGTTAACGTGACGTCCAGGCTGTTGAACGTGTACTCCTCGAAGAATCGCTGCCATTCCTTGGACACGCACGCCAAAGTTGACAACTTTTGAGGCTTGGGAACCAGCTCGGGCTCCGCAAGCATGTTGGCTTGCGGGTATTCCAGCTCAACTTCCGGGGCAAGATTGTCGGGCACCGCATTCGTGTTGTCAGCTCGCGCAAACATGTCGTTAGCTCGCGCATACCAGTCGTTGGTTCGCGCAAGCAAGTCGTTGTTTAGCGCTATAACGTCGTGCGTCGCACCTACGTTGATGCCCAGCGCAAGCATGCCGTTTAATAGCGCAGACATTTTATGAGTCTGCACAAGCACGTCGTTGAGCTTTCCAATGATTTCGACGATCTTCGGCTTTGGAGAAGACTCCTCATCAATATTGGATTCCTCATCAAGGTTGGGTACCTCATCCGCGCCATCGACATCCGGATCCTCGGCGGCGTTGGACTCCTCATCAAGGTCGGACTCCTCATCGAGGTCGGACTCTTCATCAACGTCGTCCAGAATATGCTCCAATATCAAACAACGAAGTTCTGTTGGTAAGTCTGTAAACCGAAAGTGAGAATTTGGCTCCGAGCCATTATTAAGGGGGGCCTTTGAGTGCAAAGTTGGATTGCATGGCTCCATGGTGACCAACGGAGCGCTTAGCGATGTATCCAAGAATCAATCCCGTGTTGTGCAGCACCAAGTCGTGATTCGGGGGTATCCTCGCCTCGTAGCACTGAGGGTGTAAACAAAGTATGGATTGGTTACAGAAAGTAATAGCTTTCGGGCAGAATTAGTAATTCATAATATGTATTCTCAACTCGGGTTCTCCGAAGTGATCGTGGCTTCCTTACAATAAGGTATGCGCGTTTGCAGGATGTTTCTCCGAAAGCCAGCGCGCCCCAAACTTGAATTCAAGCCGGAAACAAAAATTCACGTATTGAAGTTAGAGGTCCTTTTTCATTTTCAGCTAATCAGGTTCAACTTTGCCAGAAAATCTCAAAACCTTCCTGCCTATTCCACACAGCGGTAGGATGCTGCTGTTGATCGCTCCACTTTCTTAGCAAACCTCATCAATATCAACGCGGCGCCACAGTAGCAAAGACTGTGTTTGCGACCTAGTAGGCGTAGAAGTTCGTGGCCTCCTCCTGCGTAGTTCTTATTTGTCTGTTCATTCGTACCAAGATGGATTTCATCAGCCACGCCGTCATTACGACGCCCATCGAAAAGCCAATGCTCGCAATCATTGCCTTCCTAAAAAGCGGGCTGTCGCTGTCGGGCCAGAGATAGGGTGTGTATACGAATGACAGGTTGCCTAGTGTATTGACCATCGCAATCGCAGCCGCCTTCTTCTCGTCCGTTTGGCCAACAGTAGCGGCCGTCCATGCGACGTTAATGTTGTTCACGCCGTACGTGGCACCAACAAACAGGACCATGGCAAAGTACCGTGCACCAATGTTCATCGTGCTCGTCGTGACGGCAAAGCCGATGCTCGCCACTATATTGGAAACGGTAATATGCCAAGTTCGCTCGTTGTATCTCCCAGAAGACCAGGACACCAACACAGATGCTGCACCGGCGATCAGGTAGGGCGGGCATGTGAGTACGAGCGTGATGGTTGTATTGAAGCCGAGAGACTTGACCGCCGTCGGCATGTAATTCTTGAAGCCGTTGGCGGATAGATGGAGATTTCCCATAAGAGCAAATACCCAAGTGCGATAGTCTGCAGCGGCTTCCCACAGACCGGACCATGTGCTTGTCGCCTGACGCTTTTCTGTGGTGTCTTTAGCGACGCGGTCATGGGCTAGTTGTCGCTGCTCTGGCGTAAGCCATCGGGTCTCGAGGGGAGCGTTGGGTAATAGGAAGAAGGCGACGGCTGCCACGCCAACTGCCAAAGATGTTAGCAGACTCATACATAACAAGATGGTGGTCGTTATAGCGTACCAGTGACAACTCCTTGTATCAAGAACAACCATCTCCAAACAGCGAGGCCGTGTTTCCCGTCAAGGCCAGCGAAGACACCAGCCGCGATCAAACCTGAGAACGAGCTTGCAAGGAGATTTCCAGTATAAAACACAGCCAATCGAGTTGCAGTCTCTTTTCTTGTGTAGAACAGACTAACCATGTAGCAAGCCCCGGAATAGAAGGGCGCTTCGGTGATCCCAAGGATGAGTCTGGCCGTATATGCAGAGTCAGCTATCACGAAGACCGAAAGGGTAGTGGACATAGTAGTCATACCTGCAAGCCAGCATGCCATGGTAGTCTTTGACAATGCAAATGAGAGTCGACACAACGGCCCAGGCCATCATCCACCCCGAAATATACCAGGCGGGCTCAACGCGGGTGACGAGCATGTTGGAGGGAATCTGCCCGGTGATGTATCTGAATCATCTTGTCAATCATCGTACTGTCATTTCTTCTCTGCAAGAGCTTACCCCACGAAGAAGATGCTGACGCATGTGTTGTATTGAGAACCGACCATATTGAGATCCTTATCAAGATTATTAAGCTTTCCGTTGACGATGGCGTTTCGGTCTAGGAAGTTCTATGAAGCATTAGATAATCCAATGTCAAAGAGATTTTCTCAATGTTCTCTTACAAGAAAGTACATGACCCATAGAATCGGCTGCGGAGGGAGAGTTAGCGAATTGTAGTCAAGATAACCTATGTCTCCAGGAAAGACATACCATGAGGTACAAATCGAGCTTCTTCACAAGAGCAATTTCTTTGGGATCGACCTTGTCGACAGATCCGAACTTGTCAGGTTGTCTTCTCTCATCAACGGGTTTCAGGTCTTCTTGATCGTCGACATGGTCAACGACGCAAGTTTCTGGGTCCTTGTGCGGATCCACCTGAGGTTGTTGACTGACAGCCATGATGATGAGGGTTTGGGAATTTCGTCGATGCTTACACGAAAACAACCGGGACAGAATGTCCATAAGGTGATTATCATGTTGAATTACGGAACTGGGAAGACGTTTTAAGTCATTTCGCCCACGCGCGCGGCGCTGCTACAGACGCTTAAAGACGGACGGATACGTCTTAGACCAAATTCCTATTCTCAGTCATCCAAAGCGAATGTTCGCAATATTGCACGAATCAAGTTCACCTCATACGAGGCTTTCTCCCAGGTGTAGGTAAAATCACCGCCGCAAGTGGGCAAGTCTGGGGTAGCGAGAACTTCTGAATCCGGGGTATATACATGAAATCTTGGCTTCCCCGTGGGGTAGATTGGACCCATCGAAGGATGCTTGCTAGCGAAGGCATGATGGCGGGCCAAAGTCTTGGTGGCAGTAGGTATGTTGGCACACTCCATCTGCAGCCGACGAAATAGCGCCGTCTGTAACCGCAAACGAGGGGTTGCCTGCCTTTGTAATGCTCCAAACCTCGGGGCCATGAAAGCCATTTAAACCAACGGAGCTATCCTGACGGCTATGCACGACGGCTTCAGTGACATGCACAAGCATGGGTCCGATAAGCTGAATCCTCGTTGTCATTGGCCTCTTGTTCATCCGGAAAACAGAGCCTGACAACTTGTTCTTGTTTCCGGGAAGTAAGCGAAACAGCCGACAAACCGCTGGGCGAATTATGATTGGCTACGCAAGGCCCCCTCATCCCTCCTCGAGATCCATCTCTCTGGATACTTTGAGTTCTCCCCAATCATATCTTCAAACATCTGGACTAAATTGAAGTGGGAGAATCCGTAGGAGTGGACCCATCTGTAGCCGGCAAATCCACAACTCTCACGGAGGGGTTTCCGCAACACCTCGTGGCCGCTGTCTATCCAGGGACCTCAGTGACCGGAAATAACAATCATCCCACCGGAACGGTAACAGACGCTCGTAGCTACGAACATCAGCAAACTTCCCCGATCGCAGATCCATTGTAGGGCAGAAAAAACGTCATGCGGGAAACGCGGGGTTCGCCCCGGGCCCGGAGCGCCAAGCATGCCCTTGCATGCGGCGGGGACGGAATTGCAACGGATACGTGCTGCCGACCGGGTGGGGGGAGCCAACTACATAAATTGGGCTCGACCATCTTCACCTCTCGACATCCTACACCGCATCCCTTGTAGAGTTTATCCTGCAAGTATCTTCACCATGGCGACGCAAACAACCACAACGGCGTCAAAGTTGACAGTGTCGGAGCTCGACCGACCCCTCTACACCGTCGACGAGCTTGTCCGCCGCCGCGCGCTGGAGATCCCCGATGCGGTTGCCATCGGATATCCCAAAGAAGGACTATTGGATTTTGAAGAGCACAGCTTTCGCGCCATAGACAGATATGTCGATGCGGCGGTACAGAGGCTTCAGGAACTTGGTATTTCTCCGGCAGTAGGTCATCTCGACACCCTTACGCTTACCTTTACTGACGACGAGCAGGACCCAGCGTTAGAACAGTCCCCGGCAGTAGGCATCCTTGCGCAATCGGGACTCCATGTCGCAATTACTATCATGGCGCTCAACCGTCTGGGCTGCGCGGCATTTCTCATCTCAACCCGTCTCGCAAGCCCGGCAATCACTCGCCTCTGCGACCTAGCGAACTGCAAGTCCATGTTAACAACGCCAAACTTCCACCCTGTCTTGTCAGAAGTTCAGAAGCAGCGCCAACTCGAGGTTCTGCCGCTCATCCAACACTCGGATTACTATGGCAAAGACGCCCCCCGCTTCACACGATCTTATGATCCGGAGAAGGAGAACAAGAAGATCATGGCCATCATCCACTCATCCGGCTCAACGGGGCTCCCGAAGCCGATCTACCTCACGCATCGCAGTGTCATCGGTGCCTCCATGACGAACATGGGCCTGCGGGCTTTCATCTGCTCGCCTCTATTTCACAGCCATGGCTTCTACGAGATTTTCAGGTCCATGTACTCCAAGCTGCCAATTTACATGGGTAACTACAGCATTCCCCTGACGAGTCAGAATCTCATCAAGATGCTTGATTACGTCAAGCCCGGCGTCTTCCACGTGGTGCCGTACGTGGTCAAGCTTCTCGCAGAGACGGAAGAAGGCATTAAGGCACTCGCGAATGTGAAACTGGTGCTCTTCGGTGGCAGTAGTTGTCCAGATGACCTCGGTGACCTGTTAGTGAGCAAGGGTGTCTACCTCGTGGGCAATTACGGCTGGTAAGTGAATCTCTTCTTCTCCGCTCCTACGACGTACTAACAACACAGCACCGAGATCGGCAGAATCATGAACTCCGTCCGCCCAGCGGGCGATAAGGCATGGAACTACATGCGTCCCCTCGCCGTCGCCAAGCCCTACATCCTCATGGACGAAATCTCCCCCGGCATCTTCGAGTGCGTCTGCCTCGACGGCTGGCCCTCCAAGAGCACCAACAACTCGAACGACCCGCCAAACTCCTTCCGCACCAGGGACCTCTTCACGCGCCACCCCACACAGCCGGATATGTGGAAGTACATCAGCCGCCTCGACGACCGGTTCACCCTCATCAACGGCGAGAAGGTCCTGCCCATCCCCATCGAGGGACGCATCCGCCTGGAGCAGATCGTCAAGGAGGCCATCGTCTTTGGAGAGCAGCGGGACTATCCTGGTGTTCTGATTGTTAAGGCTGATAGTGTGGCCGACATGCCTGACGAGCAATTTCTCGAGGAGATTTGGCCTGCTGTTGAAGCTGCCAACGCCCAAGCCGAGTCATTTTCACGTATTCCGAAAGAGCTCGTCGTCATACTGCCGTCTGATGCCGAGTACCCCAAGACGGATAAGGGGACCTTTATCCGGGTGCCTTTTTACCGAAAGTTTGAGAAGGAGATCCAGGCCGCGTACGACGGGTACGAGAACGACAACGACAAGGGCAGTTCGCTCTCTCTGGAAGGCGCGGACCTCGAGAACTGGCTTTTCCAACAACTCAACGAGAAGTCTGAGAATGCTCTCTCATCGGTAGAGGCGGACTTTTTCGCCTCCGGTATCGACAGTTTGCTGTGCATCCAGACGTGGAGTCTGATCAAGAGAAAGCTCGATTTGGGCGGCCGACAAGGGCAGCTCGGCCAGAACGTGCTGTACGAGACTGGCAACATTAAGCAACTTGCTCGCCACCTCGAAGGGTTGAAGAGTGGCAGAGAAGATGCTGTCAAGGATGAGTTGGAAAAGATGGAGGAGCTGATTGCGAAATACTCCTCTTTCAAGATACATGTCCCAGGGTCAGCTCCCAAGCCTGGGAAGGACCTTGTCGTAAGTTTCTTTCTTCAAATTTAGAGACCTTCACTAAGATCCTCCAAAGCTCGTCACCGGCGTCACAGGCGGTCTAGGAGCCCATATCTTAGCCCAGCTCACATCCCTCCCAAACATTGCCCAAGTCTACGCCGCCGTCCGCGCTCCCAACGACGCCGCCGCAGCAACCCGCGTCTCAACCTCTCTCACCTCCCGCGGCATCACCCTCACACCCGACCAAGAGGCCAAGATCGTGCCTCTTTCGGCCGACCTTGGCGCCCCAGACTTCGGACTCGCCCCGTCCCGTCTCGCGGACCTCAAGTCCAACCTCACCCTCGTGATCCACAGCGCCTGGGCCGTCAACTTCAACATCCCCGTGCAGAGCTTCGAGGACCAGCATATCAAGGCAGTCTACAACCTCATCCAGCTCTGCCAATCCGTCGACACGCCCTCGCCGGCGCGCTTCTTCTTCTGCTCGTCCGTCTCCTCGGCCGGCGGCACGCCGAGGCCGGGCACGGTGGAGGAAGGCCCTGTGCCGACGCCGAAGAACGCCCAGGGCACGGGATACGCTAGGTCCAAGTACGTCTCTGAGCACATCACGCGGAATGCGAGTAAGAATGCCGGTGCTGCTGCGCGAGTGTTGAGGATTGGGCAGTTGGTTGGAGACAGCAAGGTCGGAGAGTGGAATACGACGGAGGGGATTCCGTTGATGATTCAGACTGCTGCGACGCTGGGGGCATTACCCAAGCTTGAAGAGGTGAGCTATTCCGAAGTTCTCACGCTGCGATTGATTGCTAATTCGGTTCCAGGAAATGTCGTGGTTACCGGTTGACTTAGCTGCGGCTATAATCCTCGACATGACAAACGCCGACAGGAGCAAGTCAGATGAAGAGGTCGCCCGACGAGACTCCGACGCAGATCTCGTGTACCACGTCCTCAACCCGACCCGCTTCCACTGGACCAAGCAGATGCTCCCGTCACTGGCCAAGGCTGGTTTAGATTTCGAGGCGCTACCAACAGACCAATGGATGGAGAGATTACGAAGCTCAGAAAGAGACCCGAAGAAGAACCCGCCCATCAAGCTGCTAGACTGGTTCGAGAGCAAGTACGGCAGCAAGGCCAGCACCTTCAAGGGCGGGCTGGAATACTTGACGGAAGAGAGCAAGAAGGACAGCCCGACGTTGAGAAGTTTGCCTGATGTTACAGATGTGGCGTTTGTTCGCATGATGATTGATAAATTGAAGGCTCGCTGGGAAGCCGGAGCTTGATGCGCATATCTCGCAAGCATGGAAGCGTTAGAACAGAGGCACATAAGAACACCCTCTAGATCTAGATTAGCCGAGTTGAAAGATCTATTTTCAGTCTTGCGTTGTTCAGGATGTTTGTGGGGAAAGCGGTACCAGCACTTCTCGTCAGTATGAGAAAGCTTTCTACCGTCCCCGCCATTGTTGCTATTATTTCGTCATCCTCGTCGTTCTCATAGCTGTCATTATATGTCACTATCCACCTGAAGAGCTGAACTCTTGTAGAATAGTCACAACATTTTGACGGGGACTGTCACGAAGCATGTGTATGCATTGACTAGATGATGAAAAGACAGCACCAACAAATCTGCAAATTGATGCTAGTAAGGGTATGTAGTGCGGACGCGCCAACGCAATCCCACGTGAAGAACTTCGAAGAGAACAGCGACCTAAAGCGGTGCTACCAATCGCCCAAAACCTCGTCAAACCCCACCAAAGCTCAAGAGTCATGAAGAGAACGTCTAAGAGGGCTTCGTGCCCGTCTAAAGTCAAATGCGACCGATGACCCGTGCCCCAGTGGTAACAAGCAGTCCCAAAACGCCAGCGACCCATGTAAACATAATGTTTCTGCACTTCTCACCGTTTAAAGCATCGCGGCACCGAGCATGGCGGCGCCGATCATGCCGAAGCCCATCTCCGGGCGCACGGCGGCGGCGGTCGTGGCGGTGGCCGGGGACGCGGAGCTAGCGGTCGCGGTTGCAGACGCAGTCGCGAGGGCGCCGCTGAGGAGGTTCGAGGCGGAGGCGATGGCGGAGGAGTCGGGGTTGGCTTCGACGTAGCTGCAGATTTGCGGGGCGACCTTGGCGGCGGCTGTAAAACATCCAGTTAGCCATGCACTATTCTGGATATCTACACGGTTTTCGGACGGAAGACTTACTGGCAATCTCAGTTGTGGAGCATCCGGCAGTGAGGATGCAGGTCGTCAAGCTGGACGTAAGAGTGTCCTTGCTGTTGCAGAGACATGTGAAGTCGGTCGCGGAGCATCCGATGGTCGAGGCGGCTTTGGTGAGACAGCTGGTTGCGCATGAGGGAAGCTGGGCGACGAGGCCTGCGAGGTCTGTTGAGCTGGACGAGGCGGCGGTCGTGGTGGCGGACTGCGCGGCGACGAGGCCGGTGAAGATGCTGAGTGCGACGGTGTACTTCATCTTGGCGGGTGTTGGTCTGGATGTTTGGTTTGTTGGTTCTGGAATCGGCTATCGATGATCGAGGGGGTCTTTTGTTGTTCAGTGCGGTGATCAACGATATCGTCTTGGGGTAGAGGTTGGGATTGGCGTTGGTGTAGGTGGACAACACGTGGCAGAGATTCGCGGGATGGCACGACGGAATAACGAAATGAAACCAAGAGAGCAATTACACACGACTTGGAAGGCGAGCAGGGCAAAAAGTGGTGCTTGCGGGTATCAATCTTATTCGTGGTGGTCGAATCGAGGGGAAACTGGGAAAGAAGCAATCGGCAACGAGACGACGGCGGCGGGTACGGGGGAGTAATAAACCAGAAACAAGGCCGCTGTTGCTGGTAATCTCTCGCTCCCGTCACCTATCTTCTCCCACCTTTTGAGCCCAGCCACACCCAACTCCGACGCCGAAACGAAGACGCAAGGAAACCGCCGCCCAGAGAAATACGAGACGGTGGTTCACCAGGGTGCGCCCGAGCCAAGGATCTAGGAAACGCACCTGGCTAATACGACTGACTGGGCTCAGCCGATGGCGAGTGCGACTTGGGCTTGGCTTCTGCTGACTGCTGCGAGTGGTGTTGTGCGATCAGCAGCTTGGGAGCTCCAGTCTTTTTTCTTCGTCGTCGACACTGCCTCGATGCCGCGCGGTCCATCCTTGGCGGATACGGCTCCGGGGAGGACCACTTGGGTATGTCGTGAGCCAATCTCAGTGCACTGTTTGGATTACACGGGCTGTGATGGCGATGGTGAGTTACAGGTTGAGAACAACTTCATGCGGCGGCAGTTCGTCTTCGACCGCAATGTTCGTTGGCGAAAGCGAACTGTTCATGGTGCAAACACACGAGTCACAGAACACTAAATGGCAAACGGGTTCGCTGCAGAATGCGCACTTCACTGCATCTTCCCGTGCTGTTCGGATGACACCCGTCTGAAGAGATGGGATGCACCACCGTCGTCGCACAGATTCTAGACTCTCAATCGAACAATCATCGCCCGGAACCCGAGGAATAGGGGGCCCCGTCCAACGTGCACATCTTCTCCCCTTTCACCCTGATGTCAGACTCTTATTTTAGTGATAGACCCCTGACGTGGTGCCCCGTTGAGCCGCCCTTGGCAAGGGTTCGCGTGGGATGACCGGGTCTCTCCAATCTCCAATCTCCACGCCTCGCCCATCATTGTTGTCTCCCATCTCTGACAGTGGGCGCCGTTTGACCATTGCAAAGAGGCTGGACCGTGGCCATTGACGCGGAGAGCTGACGGAAGCAACGAGTCAACGACGAGGGCAGCTGGATACTGAAATCAAGCTTCGTTTGCTCATCAATTCCCCCATCCAAGCGACCGGCACTGCAGAGGGTCTGCCCCTGATATTCAGGGGTTCGTGGCTGACTGTTACAGATCCCACGCGGGCCGATGTTTCCATTCCGACATCCAGGGTTTGCGTTGTTTGAAAGTCTGCCGAACGGCCGGCCGTTGAATGTCAAATACCAGTAAAGTTGGCAAGCTCTTTTTCTGACAGCCATCGGGCGCATCGAAGATCCCTTGTGTCGTCTGCATTACCGAGCTTTGCTGATGGTTCGCTCTGAAGCTCGAGCCAAGCCGGTCCGGTTTTTGGCAGCGGCTTAGCAGAGCTTGGGGCAAAGATGGGAGCATCTGTACCACCGACGCGGCAGCCTGGGCTGAAGTCATTTCGCCAAACAGTTTGGAACGGCTACCTGTGCGGTGAACTCAGGTGAAGCAAATCAGAGTAATCGCAGTGCTAGTTCTTACGGCGCAGTCACTACCGCTGGGTTCCTTTGAATGGGAGACACTAGCGACTCAGCCTCCTACGAAATGAGTAAGAAGGATCGGTTCAGGGTTTGACGCATGATGCAAGCCGATAATCGAGAAGCCAGGCTTCGTGAGAACGTGAATGCTGCGCCATCTTATGGAAGCTGGTGCCGATAGATCGCAATCTTGTAAGACCATGAAAAACACTGGCTAGATAATCTGCATCCAAAAGGTACGAAATGGGGTAACGGCTTTGGTAAGCGCCTGCTCGGTCAAAATGAAGCATTGCCGACGGCCAAATCCCACGATGGCCGAGCCCTTCGGCATCCATCCTCGCTAGTGGACCCACATCGGCGGACCTTCCGAGTCAAACACGGCGCCGAAGAATTGTCGGCCGGACGGGAAGCAAGACGGCGACTTACAAGATTCTCCCGCAGCGGCTGGCTTTTAAGAGTTGCTAATTCCGTCTTAAATTTTGGGTTTTTAGACAGTCACATCAGCTTACACTATTCGATTGAACCCATAGTCGCCCAATTTCGTTTTGATAATGGCCACTACACCAGCACGAAGCAACGGCGCTCAGCCAAGCCAAAACCTCAACTGGGAACAGATTCCGCTCACAGTAAACGGTACTGCCATCTCAGTCTCTACCGTACGCTGTGATGGTTCTGCGGATCCAATTCTCTTCCTTCACGGCTTCGGTAGCACCAAGGAAGATTACACCGACATCAGCCTCCACCCGTCACTCTCCAAGTACCCAATCATTGCATACGATGCACCAGGCAGCGGTTCCTCCACTATCGCGGACTACTCTGCGCTCTCGATGCCCTTTCTTGTCGCCGTCGCTGAAGCAGTCTTGAAGACCTATGGCGTCAAGAAATACCACCTCGTCGGCCATTCCATGGGGGGCCTAACGGCCTTACTCCTCGCCCAGCGGAACCCAGGCTCGGTACTGAGCTTCACCAACATCAAGGGAAACCTCGCTCCCGAAGATTGCTTCCTGAGCAGGCAGATCCTCGACTTTCCCGCGGAAGATCCCGAGATGTTCGTCACAGAATTCATGGAGCGCACGCGGCAGTCTGCCTTCTTCGGCAACGGAGTCTACGCCGCTGCCTTCAGAGCCAAGGTCAGAACTGAGGCTATTCGTCCTACGTTTGAGAGTATGGTGGAGTACTCGGACAACGGAGATTTGATGGAGATCTTCAAGGGCTTGGCGTGCCCTAGAATGTTCATGTTCGGGGTGCAGCACGCAACGTTGTCGTATCTTCCCGCCATTGCCAAAGCCGGCGTTGAACTAGCGGAGATTCCCAAGAGTGGTCATTTTGTTATGTACACTAATCCAGTCGCTATGTGGGATCTAATTGAAGACTTTTTAGGGAGGGCGTCGGATGTGACCACAAAGGTGCATATTCGGTCAACTACCTAGACGGGTATATTTAGAGCATTCATGGTCGACCTTTTGATCCATCTACAAAATTAGAACTCCGATGACTATTCCTGATGAGTGAGTCATTCCTGTTTTTCGTTGCCTACCGTGTATAAGAACATTCATTTTGCTTAATTATCGCCAACGTTTTTCTACCCCAAGTTCGAACCAATTCTCAGTTTCACCGGACATGGCGCGCAGAAAGTCGCACTCGGCGCGAAATCAATATCAATGGGGATTCCAAACCCTGCCATACGAGTTACGACATCACATCCTGGAAGATCTTCGAAAGCAAGCCGACCCAAAACAAAGATTCTCTGCATGGGCCCACGTTTCTCGGGAATGGCAACATTTCTTTGAGCCAGATACTTTCGAGCGCCTGAGCCTCCAGATTCCCGGCCCAGATATCCGGCAGCTCAAGTATGTCGTCGTGAATGGTCGACAGAAGCTGGTCAGAAAGATTTCTCTCCACGTGCATTTGGCTTGTTGCTCCAGACGAGAGGGAAACGAGTTCGAAGATGAATTCACGAAAAAGGCAAGCATAAAGGTATTTTCTGGCGCAATACTCAACCTCTTCACAGTCCTGTCGAGATGGAAGCAAGATGCCTCAGGTCAAGGTCTTACATTTGAGTTGAGCGCTAGCTCGCCCAGTTACTACCCTCATCGAGAATGTGGGAGATACCGCACCGCGATTCAAGACAGAGCATCAAAGCAACGTTTACTGGGAGCCCTCCTTGACATTAACTTCAACTCGCCATCATCATCTATTCCCTCTGTTCCAGTCATCACCAGCTTCTCTATGAACCAACGATCCCATCGGAAAATGTCTGCGTCAGCTATGGCCGTGCTATTGGCCAGCATGCCTTGTATAAGAGACGTAAACTACCAGCCAGTTTGGGTATGGTCATCGTTTGCGTACCGCGATCGCGAGTGCTACGCACGCAACTTGGCTATATCAAGCCTCTTCAGATCAGTCTATATATCTCCGAGTATCCAGGACTTATCCTTATGGGAGGCACAGCATCATGATCGCCGGATCTATCAGAGAAGAGTCCCAGAAAGTTTGGTCTCCGTCGCAGTTCTGGCAAGTTACCGGCTCCGCAACTTCGTCATATTGAACGTTATCGATGCTGCGCAATTCTTCAAGTGTCATGAGAGCATGGCACAAGGTCTAAGCCGCTCCCTTGACTACGCACACTGGCCAAATCTCATGTACCTGTGCTTGACTACCGAGCAAGGCAAGGATAATCTAGATGTTCTGCTTGTAAGAGCGGCAAGGGCTGCTCGTCAGATGCCAAAACTTAGGATAATGGAAGTGTGGTGTCCGAAGGTGGACTATCAGGGCCCAATGTCATTCTTCTTTCGCTATGACGTTAGGAGAACGGACACGAGACTGACTGTATCGGCGAGTTGGAGAATCAGCCTTAGTGAGAGGACTCTCACAGATTGGCAGCGAGCATCGGATCTTCATTCACAGCACAAGCTTGACCATAGGGTCAAGTTCATTAATGTAGTCCGTATGGAGGGTTGGTGGTTGTTGTACAGGCGTCTTCGTTTGTACAAGCTGTTACGAGATTGGGGACCCGGAATTGAGCATTAACTTACCAGTGTTACTGTAGTTACTTTCCTGTATACGAAGGCATCTTGTGCATTGGTAAGCTTATATACTCATCAAAACTTCACATAGGTCAAATGAAATCAAAGCTTAGATGCCCATCAGCATGTGACAAGTTTGGTAACGCGTTGCAAGGAATCTCAGCAGTAGCCAAGTTCATAAGTGTATTCACAAGATAGCAAAATGCTAAATATTTACAGGTTGAAAATGCGTAACACTGGCTTTTGCCTACTGGGCCCATCCATCATCGCCCCAAACTGGCCCACCAGGAGGAGTATACTCAGTGACCTTTCGGTAGTCAAGAAAGATCTAGAGCGTCGTCAGTTAACGTGCTTAGGGATGTCACACAGGTTGGAGATACTCACCGACTTGGTATCATCAGCCTTGTACGCTCCGGGAAGCGCGATTCCTTCGGGGAGCTTGGTCGTTCCGTCCCCAGTAACAGTGATCTGGTGGCAGCCTGGGTAGAATTGCGCTAACTTTCCGTCCGTATTCGTGCGTTGGAGGCCGAGAATTTCGTGTCTGTGAAAACCAAAGTCAGATAATTGTCCAGAAGCAGAGGAGGGGGTCTTACTTACCGTAGAATGTACTCGCCGGGAGCAATCTTGGAGGGCAGCTTGACAGTGTAGGTGCTGTTGTTCTCTGGCAGTCGCTTGCTAGCCCAGGGAATGGCCTCCTTGGCATCATAACCAGACTGGTCAATCTTGACCCAGACATTGCCGGTACTGCCGTCAAACTCGCTGCACTTGCCACCGCAGCTGGCAAGATACGTCATGACTTCCCGTGTATTAGACTTTGTATGTTCTCATCGAGGTCGTACGGCATCCACGACTTACTCGGGCCGGGATGGTCGCTCTTCCACTCAGTCCACATGAACTTGACACTGCTTCCAGCAGCAACACTGGCAGTCACCGTGGCGGGGACGTTGTTCTTGTCGCTTCCGATGTTGCAGGTGATGGCGTCGGTCTATGTGGTTGACGAGTCAGCGTCCGTTGGTACAGTACAAGCGGGTAGTTTGAGCATACCTCGAAGAGCCCATCGGTGACTGGGCCGTTGTCTTTGAACTTGCGGGTGATCTTCTCGACTTTCTTTGACGGATCTTTGTAAGGGTTCCAGGTGTTGACGAGGTTCTCGCCGAGCATGATCTGCTGGACGAATCCGTGGGCCGACGCGGTCGCGACCAGCGCGGAAACAGCAGTTGCCGAAGTAACCTTCATCTTGAAATGCGGTTTAAGAAAAGAATGAAAACAATTCAAAACAAATGAGGACCTGCTCTGAAGAACTATCAACAATTCTTGATGTCGTTCTTCACCACATCTTTTATAATTCTCGAACAGCGCAGAATTTCTCCTGGTTGGTGGACTCCCCTGCGATGTCTTGGCTCGTTGCAAACACCGTTCCTTGCCCATTTCGTTCTTGTCCAGAGTCCGAGTTCACGCCTTTGTCGTTCCACTCGATCACAAGTCCACACCTGCGATTGGCCTTTTCTTGGCATCCATATCCGCTCTCGTCGCTGACTGGCAGTGGCTTTGTTCGATATAAACGATGGGCCTCTCGGGCTGTGTTCCGGGCCTGGCCAAGATTGGTGGGATTTCCCCAAAACAGCACCTCTGCGACCCTGCAAGTATATCCACCCAGCGCAGATCTTCCACAACCCAAATGTTTCCAAGACTGAGATTGGTGAACAGTCAGATAACGGTGTGAGCTTAATTACTTAGGGTGTTGGCAGGCACCTCGATACGGTTAGGAGAGTCTGAAGCTTATTGAGGAGACTGGAGTTCTTGGCAGGGTTTGACCGTGCTTGCATCAGGTTGGCGGATCACACCCTGTCCTCAGATTGATCCAGGGGCTTGAGTGGGGAAATTTCTGCTATCCCACCGGACAGGACAAGACTTGAGAATAACGTCTCTTTCGACATCTCAAGAACACCTGGGGGAGCATCTGGAGCCCACCTTCACAAAACGACTTCAGAATCAATTCAAAGTGTTGTAGATATAGGCAAATTGAGATTGATACTATGATAATGAGACTATAAACAAGAAGGAGAAACATTCGTCCCTGCATGTACTTGGTGCGATCGTTGGTGAAAAAGTGTAGACAAGAAAAGAAAACGAAACCGTTCAAACTGTTTCATGAATGTGTTCAGAGGCTGAATCAATCAGTGAGATGACCAGTACTGCTCGAGAGCGTCATTGACTTCATCAATCTTGCTGTATGCCTCAGTGTTGGCCATAAACTGGATCGACTCCTCAATGGCGCTGTCGGAGAAGGGGCCAGCGCGGGTGCGCAAGTCGGCCATGACGTAAGGCTTAGCCCTCCAGCGATCTTCCATGGGGTCAATGAAAGTGGTCTCGTTGTAGCCCCAGTCAGGAAGAGTGGTGACATTGAATGCCGCCATCATGTCACTGTCCTCGTGAATCAGGTTGTGGCAGTGGAACATGTAGACTCCATCCCACGGCGCGTAGTGAGCCTCGACGAGAACAGACTCTCCACGGCCGAGCCAGACAACATCCTTGAGACCCTCTGCCTCGTAGGGCATAACACCGCGATCGCCATCTCTGGCAATGACCTTGAAGTCGACAAGGTGGACATGGATAGGGTGGGACCATCCATCAGAGCTGTTCTCCAGCTCCCAGATCTCAACGGTGCCTCGGGGAACGTTGGCGAGCATGCGGTTCTCGACATCAGCGAATCCGACGCCGTTGATGCGCCATTCACCATTGGTGCGGTGGAATCTGAAGTGATGGTCGATGACGTTTCCGGTTGAGGTAGGGAATGGGACAGTTCGCAGAGTCTCCGGAACGCTGGACGTGTCGGGGGAAGAGGCGGCGGTGCCGACGATGAACTTCATAACCTTGTCGGTGTTCAGGTAGTCATCCTCAACTCCGACGCCCCCGGCCTTGGGGAAGTTTCGGATCTCAAGCTGTTGTCCAGCGTACTTGGAAAAGTCGATGATGATTTCGTACCGCTCAGCACCAGACACGTACTGGAACAGGTTAGTCCTACACTAAAAATGCGAGATGAAAAACAATAGGCTAGATCTACTCACAAGATCAGAGACCTGCACAGGCTTGGTCAAGAGGCCACCATCAGCTGCAATGACCTGGAAAGGCAGCTTGCCGTTGGGAGCATTGGAGTTGACGAGGTAAAGAGCAAATGCACGAGAGACGGAAGCGTCCAAGAGGCGGAATCTATACTTGCGGGGTTCGACGTTCAGGAATGGCCAGGGCTGACCATTGACGTGAATCACATCACCCCACAAGCTGTCCTTCTCCCCAACGGTCGAGAACAGTGTTCCGTCATCGTTGTACTGCTTGGAAGTGAGAACCAAAGGGATGTCATAAACGCCGTAGCCAGTAGGCAAGTTCAAAGCGTCCTCGGCCGGATCGCTGATGAGATAAGCTCCAGCTTGACCCATGTATGCGTTTTCGGCGGTCTGAGTTGTCAAGAGTCAGTCTCTGGTATCCTTTGGGAAACATGCTTAATGACTCACCAAGTGCATTGCGTGATCATGATACCACAGCGTTCTGGCTGACTGCTGGTTGGGGTAGTAGTAATCCTTGTACTCTCCCGGATTGGTAATATCCTCCGCCCAGCCATCAAAGGCCGCACGGGAGTAGGATCCATGGAGATGAACAGAGTTCTCACGGGCAGCGTTGTTGATGAAACGAACCACAGACTCGGTGCCGCGGGGGATGATCAGAGTGGGGCCAGGAGACATCCCGTCGTAGCCAACAAGAGTGGCGGGACGGAGGTTGGGATAGACCTGGTGACTGAAAGGCTTGATCTCCAACTCATAGTACCAGATTTCCTTTCCAGTGACAGGACTGATGACTTTCCTATTTTCATATTAGATGCATCGTCACTAAGACTAGCGTTTTGTGGATTGCCCTTACTTGGTCGGCTCCTTGACTGGAGGGATAGGAAGAGCAACTTTATAGATCAAAGCATACTCTGGACTCAACCAGTCCTTCTGAAGAGTGAAAACATCTCCAGGGTCATCTTCAACAATCTGAGCAAGAGCAACGACCTCTGACTCGGGAATCTCCGAGACGTGTGTCTCACTGAAAGAAGAGTTCTGCGCCTTTACAGAACTGAAAGAGACGGCAGCTTGAAGGGCTGCGATAGCGAGTTGATAACGCATGATGAATGTTGCTTGACCACTCAAACTGACAAAAGCTGATGCTAATGTTTGAAGGTGTTCAGAAGATTGAAGTGTGATGTTGTTTGGTTTCGTTTCCAGTAAGTCTTCATAGGAGATACCCTTAGCCTTAAATCATGATGGCTGACTTCACTTCGTTGTCCGTCGACGGAAAAGCATGCAAATATCTTGGAAGCTGGCGGAAAAGACAACCCTTAGACGCATGCTAATCATCAAGTTGCAGTTGAGATCCGATATCGTCCGTTTCCCCTCCAGCCTCTCCACTTGACATGTGCTTCATCCCACGCTTTGCTCGCGCTCCATGCTCTGATAGGAAATTAATAGCCGCTGTGACTGCTGTCTTCTCTTGCAGATGTGTCGCATGATTCTTCGAAATCCCTCAATCTCGTAGGAATCTGGGCCGCCGTTCCGGTCGTGATGGAGTCGACATGGCAGCACAAACTTTTGTCATGGCTCTGCAATGTGACAGCAAGATCCACCAGTATGGCGGTCTGTCCGGGTTTCCCTTTTCTGCAGTACGAGATGCTAGCCACATTAATGTTGCTTGTAAGTCTTGTTATACCAGCGCCAGGTATGACTGACTCCGGCATGGAGGATGAGTGCCCCTTGCCAAGAAGCTTCCCTTGCAGCGATGGCACAGAACACCCGCGGTTAACGAGATGATTGTCTTGGTAAATGGAACCTTAAAGTCAAAGACGTCAGTAAAGACAGAATGGTATTCGAGTAGTGGGGGAATTCTTAGGGGCTCAGTGATTTCTGTGTTGCGACTACTCGCAAACATGTGTTGTCGATGATTGGTGTCGTTGAAGTGGCCATGATACGGTCACTTCACTTACGACTCTGAACTTAGCACTGTAAATCGACTACGACAGCTCTGGAGAAATTGAAGGATTGCCTGTTGTAACATTTGCAACTTCGTCACGAATCGCCTGTCACCCAAAGCAACGGAGCAACACGCGCCATGCTGCAGCACGGCCACGGCATGCAGCCAGTATCACGCAAAGGATGTGGATACATGTCGTCGGAGAGACTTTCGTTGAATCCCATGATTCGATGTTGCACTCGTATCCATACGAGTCCCAGACCGAGGCTCAAGGCTTTCTCTTTTGCGATTAATACAGCCCAATAAGGGTGGGCATGCCCTCCAGCCTCTACCTAGTCCTGAGTCTTGCCAAGACAAGTCCAACCGTTGACTAACCTACCCGCACCTCCACGAGCGCCATGCTGATAAGCACTCTAAAGAGACGATGAACCATCGATCTTAACGTGAAGTTGCGTGGTCTTTGGGATGGGGACGATCCGGGTGACATCGTGCTAGGTCCGTTGAGGCTGCCTGCTCGCCGGTGGTTGGTTGATGTTCTTGAATACTGCCGACTGCTTGCGCGGCTAGCCAACCCCAGACTGACTAAATCCCGCAATATTGACCGCTGCAAAAGCCATTAGTGTTCTGCTGGGGTCAAGGGTATTGACTCCTTCGTGGACAGTCGAGGGGGATAATGCCACGCACGGTTCAGGGGGGATCCAAGCCACGAAGGCATTTCCAACGTGCTTCGGTTGAGCCCCTATTACCCGAGCCCGGGCTAGCAACGGTAATTCGGGGCATTCTTTGAATTTCGATGAAATTACAACTTTGCCATCATTGTACTCTCGATTGAGGGGTACTTGGAAAGATTTGTGACAATATGCGCCTTGTTGCATGCCTCGCATACACAGCCTTCCACAGCAAATGGTATTACACGGAAGCAGAATTGGCATCACTTGGCTACTTACGGAATCAAAAGCAAAAATTACCAAGCAACTGGTTTTCTGCGGACACGTGCTTAGACAGCATCAGCTGCCGGTGGCGACTCGTGAAAACCTGCCTCCTTGCCGCCAAGCGTGTCCATTCAGGTGAAGATTAGGTCGTGTCATGCATCTTGACTGCAACTATATCACGCCGCATCCGGCCCGTACCCTACGTTAGCCGTGGCTAGTTGGAAGAAATGCCCCGGCTGGCATACGGAGCCGAACTCTATATGCCTATGAGGGTTGCGGCGAAGCCTTCAGAAAGGAAGGTGGTAAAGCAGGCAGCCATTTGACCCATTTTTACGGTAGTTCTTGGCGGGAAGGGCTTGTCAGGTCCAACGATTTCCACATGAAATACGCGGGGAGGCTCCAGGTGGAGGGTCGACGCGGGGAGTTCCATATTGTTTGCCCGAATCGGGATAATGGCCTGGAGAGCCCACGACGCACGGTTCCACTAATCCTGTCCAGACGTGCAGTTGTGGATTATCGCGTAAGTATCAGTCATGGCTGGAACGTGATGAGTCGTGATGCAAGCCGTCTATGTACGAATACGGTATCCATGTTAGCAGTTGGCTCTGACTGAGGAGGAGCAGACCTTTGGACCGTGATGGTGGCAATTGCCAAGATGTAGCATCACCTCGAGGAACGGCAGGTTTTGACTAGCGAAGAATCCTGTTTGTCGGCAAAACCTGCGACTGTTGCATGTGAACAGGGGAACCGGAGCGAACCCCGATCTGTTTGAGTAGCGTCTAGCAAAAGATGCACGGACTGAGATGATTTGCAACTGCGCTGTTATCTATTCTGAGAGAAAAATGACATCTCGTCTGATGATGATCTTTCACTTTCATCCGTAGTTCGTGACTTGATCTTCTTGGCTAGGTAACAGAACTGTATCCAAAGTGCAATGGGCAAACTTTGACAAAGTATGGCTGAGACTCATGTGGCTGCGCTTGGATACCTTCTGGGGACGAAGGTTTAGGCGACTAAATGAGGTCAAGAGATCCCTGTCACCACCAATGAGGGGTTCCCTATTTCCTGCTAAAATGCGTCCCTGAGCAGGGATCGTTCAGGAGCCTCCTGTTACGAGCCTCTTTCTTGCCGTCCCACGATCCTACTTTTCGAGTGACAACGTTCAAGTTGCAACGTGCAGCAATGACCAGCAGTCTAAGCCGGCCCAGGAGGCTGGGTTGCATTCCCCCGGTTGCTATGAACTCCGTTCCAGGGGTTTCTGAATCAAGATCCTGGGCAGGCAGGTATTGACGACTCGGCTCCCCTTTCTCCCGAGCACCAATCCGGCATATGTCACCAATTATAGACATGTAGCGCGCGGCGCGGAATCGGTCCCGGTGACAACACCATGCAGTTGAGATGCGTTGGGTGGGTCCAGATCAAGGGATTCTCACGATACACTTACTGTTTACTGCGAGAAAGGGAGCGCCACAAGTTGAATTTCTGCTCGGGTTGTCACGAGCATCGCGCGTTCAAAAATGGCTCGCCCAAGATGGATACATCTCCATCTTGGCAGAGGGTCACGATTCCAGGAGGCTAGCGAACATGGAGTTGGGCATGGGGTATCTGCAGTCTTCCCAGTGCCTTCACAGGCGACTAGACCGTTCTATGACAGAGGGATGAACCGAAATGGCTTTTCCGAGCCACGCCTTGGTTGACCGGTCTCGGGGGAAGGTCGGAGGCCTCGTCCTCATTGCTCACCGGCGTCCGCACCGGCTCTTCCGGGGAACAAAACGGCTATTGCCCAGCGTCACGTTGCAGGGTCCCATTGAGTGCATATGTGCTTTGCTAAGAGAAAACGTTTTTTGCCTCCTTGAGAGCCAAGACAGTCCATTTTCAAAGGCAACTCAGCGCAATAGTTCGCCTTGGCAATGGTCAACAACGTTGAAGCGAGATCAATCTTGGGCGTCACGCAGAACTGACATTCGCTTTGAAGTAATCTCGTGAGCAAAAGTTATGGAGGATTCGGAGATGGCTCAAAAGAGTAAACGCAAATTTAGCGAAAGGGGGGACTGACGGTGATTCAATTCGTAGTGATCAAGATCATGATAAATGGGCCAAGAAGCCCGTGGTAGAACGAGAACTTTTTGGTATCACCACCCTCAACTTCTCTTGGCTCCTCAGTCTCTTGTCTCTAGCCTTCAATGCACTATCTTCAGCTGTTCCTTGCCCTCTGGGCTCTCTTTTCTACCCCTGTGTGGGCTCAAGAATCGCCAATCTGGGTTCAGGGCGCTCTCGAAGATGCCATTGCTACAGATGACACTTTCAACACCGGCGGCACCATTGTTGTCAATGGCTTCACTATGAACGTTCCCAAGAACCTTCTGGTGCAGTTTCCTGCTGCATGGGTTCCTTGGAAGGAGTTCGTCGCCAACAAGGCCGACTTCGCTGGCTATGAGACTTTGGTAAGTCCAGTCCCCCACATGTATCAATAACGGATTGACTGACCACAACTTGTATTAGGTTATTGGAAACAGCATCAACGGAGAACCCCGAGTTGCACAAGTTCAGCTCTATGAGTTTTTTGAAGGCTTGAGCAGTGGCTGGGTCGAATCCGTTGACTTTGCGGACGGAAGTCTCAAGATCCAGAACGGTCCTACTGTGCGCATCTCTGATCCCAACGCTGTCTTCTCCAAGGGCTTCACTGGCGCACCGCTCATGACTGCCGACGATCAGAGCCCCAGTATCACGTCTTTCTCTGGCTTCCCCATGTGCATTCCTAGGAACGAAAATGATCCGCTTTGCCCGTTGACCAACCGCCCTTTCGTCGGCCCTGGCACTTTGTAAGTACTCTGTCGAGCTTATGGAAGTCGTCAACTAACCATGAAAAGCACTGCTCCGGACCCTCTGGTCATGGCGCCGTTCCAAGCTGGCGACTTTATCACATTCTCCGGGTTCCGTCGAGGCAGCGAGGTTATTGCATTCAGCATTGTTGCTCAAAACGTGCAGATCAACACCCTTGGCGATATTGTCTATGTTCGTATGGAGCTTGGGCTTCTGGGAATTGACAACCCCAGCCCCAACGCAGAGATTGCGGAGTCTCGAGTAAGCTTACATTTGACAACCGTCTTTGACATCATGTCGGTGCTGATATAATCCACTTCCAGTTTATCGGTTTCGTGTCAAACAATCGGGCCACCGTCTCACTTTACGCCATGGATGTTGATCCCTGCACCGGCACCACCTCCGACCGGATCATCGCTTCCATGGGACTCCGCGGAGGCCGCAACGCCCAGAACAAATTTGAATACCGCAACGAGATTCTCTTCAGATACACCAGAGAGTACCGCGTCATTGCCGAGATTGACGGTGTTGCGAAGACTCGCGTCACCAAGAACAACCTCACTGCCGGAACATACGTGCAGCCTGTCAACGTCTGGGTACCCGGAGAACAGGACGTTCCTGGAGTTCCCCCCGTCTCGTATGACTTCTCCCAGATGGAGTTCCTGACCAAGGGCGTCGGCGCCGATGATGCGGGCAACGTTTGGGGTCCTCTGGAGCCGTTCCCTCAGACGGGTGTTTTCATCGAGACTCCTGTTTGTGCCGCTACTCCCGCGGCCCGCGACTTGAAGGTGGAAAAGCGGGGAAGCATCGGACGATGGTACGGCAGAGCTCGCGCCGATGCCATTTCCCAGCTTGAGAATGTTGACACTACGGATCCGGTCGTCGTTGTCGCTCCGGAAGAAGCTGCCGCGATCGCCGAGAAGAAACAGGAGGAGGCTGCCAACAATGACTCGCAGTGAAATGCGACCTGGTTGACAGCTCACAGAATCTTTACCTGACGGATATGACGGAACTTTGGTGCATTGTCTGTCACCTGAACTTTGAAGTTCAGACATCCGGTATGGGACGAATTTCAACAACGCCCCAGACATCTTTCATTTGTACATGTAGGTGGATTTGGAAATAACTTCCTTTACATATATTGTCGATCTCTGGACATATTCCTGCGTATGACATGGCTAGATATTCTATTGTTGGAGGAGCCTGAAACACGGCCTTCTCCATCCCGTAGCTGTCAAATTGACCAGGTGCTCCCTGTAGCTTCCAACTGAAGATGATGTCAATTGATGCACTGTCCACACGAAATTTACTCTCGAACGGGGCGGTTGGAGACTACACCGTCCAGAGGGTTATGTCAACTTGTCAATGACCTCGAGATCAAATAATTCAACTATGTACATGAAAGAGACTTTGCAAACCGCTGCCTCGACTGCGGATGACTCGGAAGGCAATTCTGTGTGCTGTCATAAGGGACCATCCTAATATCGACTCGAGGATTTGAGCTTTAGGCGGGGCTGTTGACAGTGATTGAGGCGCTACCACTGCTGTAGTATCCCTCCGTGGCAACAATCATGTAATTGTGAATTCCCAAATTCAACCCGACTGAAGCCCAAGCTGCGAAATGATTGCCAGTCGTCACAGTGCCCCCAACTCGCTTTTCAGTTCGCTAATCGACACTGTTAGTATATAACTCTCAGGTTGTTGGATGAGGAGACACACAATGGACCAGTATTGCTGGAATGTTGCCGTGCCTTCAATGCTAGGCTGCTGCACGCGAGTGCTGACGTAGATGTCGTAGGTTCCGCCGTCACTCGTCAGAGAGCCTTTCTTCGTAGCACCGGAAGCAGGGTTGTACGTGCCGTAGGATTCGATGATGTAGTACTCGATCAACGGGTTCTGGGTCCAGCCGTACACAGCAAGGTACTAAAAGCATAAGACAATGTAACGCGTCATTACTCTCTTCTAGTTGTGCTTATTTCAGGTATGACACCAAGATGACCACCTACGCTGTTTCCATTGGGGTTGTAAGTTCCCGAGTATTCAATCGTCCTAAGTCGGGAGCCATTAGCTACAGCTTTCAAGACTGGTTGTGATGCTTCTTACTTAGAACCACCAGGGTTCCAACCCTTGCCGCCGACAAAATTGCCGCCTCCTCCGCCCCAGTTGACGCTGTAAGAGCCGCCAGCTCCGTTCGTGTAAGTGACTTGGGAGCCACCGTCGGTCCACCAAGAGTAGTAGTATCCATTGTGATAGCCGGTTGAGCTCGGCGTCGACTGACGTTTGACGACGTCACTGCCTGTAGGGCTGGCAATGACGCTGACAAAAGCCGCAGCGGCCACAAAGAGGTTCGAGAAGGAGACCATCATTGGAAGAGAAGTGAGCGTAACGGAGGTTAGCAAGAGGCTGCAATGATTGTTATTTTGATTCAGGAATTCCAATCAGCGCATCAACTTTTATATTTACAAAGGTGCTATGTTTCTGGCGCCGTCAACAGTCAAGATATTTCACTCGCAAGTTCGTGATCACGCAAAAAACAATGGATAAATCAAATTTAGTGAAGTGTGATCTTACATGACGCGCGTTCAATTCACATTTTGTTAATTACATTGAGGGGAGGTATTCAATCGTGCAAATCTGGCTAAATTCAGACCTATGATATCTCAGGCAGGAAAATCCGGGGTTGAGAGTCCTCTGACCCATTCGGTAAATGGACATGATGATCTACATGTCTTCCCGCCCTTGCAGCGGTAGAATTCAAGAAGTGCCGAGTCACCCGCGGTTGGATTTCCATTTTCTGGTGAAAGATCATCTTGGCACAATCTATCTTGGCAACATCCATCACGCAAATTTTTTCTTTGTGACTTTGCTGTATTCAGCCTCAAACTACGTGGTGGCTTTCTGTCGGCTTATCGAGGCAAACGCGACTTGAATAACATGACGAAACACACATATACTTTAGCCTAAATTTTGATGTCTTTTGGCGAAATGTCGTTGCGTACAAATATACAATGGTGAATCTCACACACTACGCAATGTTAGCATAGAACAAATCGAGGATCTTTTTTTGTCTGATTTTCCAAAATCTTCACTGAGTGCGAACCAGAAGCTTCAGTTTGCATCAGAATCCAGATTGGATGCTTTCATGCTGCCGAAGCATCCAAGCGACCCAAGTTGTAGCAGACTTGGTGGGAGCCGTTGTAGGGGTAAACTGTTGCATCGTGGCTGACATCTGTTACAATCGTATTGACCAGGGTTGGAAATGGCTCTCCCTTCACCTATTCCCCCGTCATTCGCCTAGCCGCAAAGCCTTGGCCCTCGTTTCTGCTGCAGAATCGGTCAAAGCAATATTCGATATGTATTATGTGATACTTCACGAAATGTCTCCCGTTCATTAGATGTTACTGGGCACACAAGGCTCGAGGAAGCAGTTCAGATGGTCTTGGCTATTTTTGTCTCAAACAGTTCCGCCCACCGGCGATTGGCAAAAGGACAACCATGGAATCGGCGTCAGTCTGCGCATGTAAGAATTTCTGGCTGATCTTCAGATCATGAGCCAAGCCGCAAATTCTTGCTCCAAAATTCACTTGCAGGATAATTGCTGTGCTCTGCGTCTGACGCTGTGCAGCGATCGTGCGCTCATCGTACGGCAAAACTTGCCGCAAGCTGATACAAGCACTGTTGATCTTGGCAGGGGTGCGAGGCCCCCAGCTGCTTGATGAGCGACGATCTGGAAGCTGTCGGCAAGAATGCAGCCCAGCAGAAAAAGCGAGCATTGAAATTGTGGCAGTGCACATTGCTCATGTGACTCAAAAGCTTGGTAGAAGCTTCATAGTAAAAAATGCTTGGGAGGAAATTATTGAGCTGGTTCGAGAGCATTAATGACGTCTCAGTAAGTCAGCTTTGGACGATCAGCCTCAGTAAAGGGATCCAAGATGAGATCAGTAAAGGGGTCCAGGTTGAGACCAGTAAACTCGCTACCAAAAACAGCAGGCCGGTTTGGTGTGAATGATTCGTTTATCGAGGTGGGCGTTTCTAATATTTTTATCCCGAATCCCCTTAAACAGTCCCCAATGTTACCCGAGTCATTCCGTGACAAATTCGACGAAATGGCAAAGATCGAAGGCAACTCGGTGGCCGGCGGCACCGATGGTCACAGAATGGGGGCTGATCTAGGCCCGCCAGGAGTCGGAGAATAATGCATGGCATCTGGGGGAGCCCAATTTTTCCGTTCATTCTTGGCACAAACAAGTCTGCAGCTCTCGCCTAGAACCTCGCGTGTTTGAGAGGGGGGCGGTTTCTCCATCCCCTGGCCACCCAAAAACAAGCATCAAAATATTCCAATAAGGGTAGCAGCAAGCTTAAAAGACGGTTCCATCATTCATCCCTGTGGAGCTCCTCTTGTCAAAAGGCAGGCCTCTCTCAAATCATGCGCAGCGAAACTCCCAAGTGCGGGGGTCCGTGAGGCTTGAAGAGGGTGCTTGAGCGTCAGGACCCCGGAAAAGTGTGCCCATCTACGGCCCAATTGCAGTGTGTGTTGCATTAACTTTAAAGCTTGAAACAGCGATGCGGACAGTTTTTGTGGCAGGATTGGTCGAGTCTGGTCAAGGCAGTCCGACATAACCGAGCTTCGCGTGTGCCGTAGATCCGGGGCCATCCTAGTCTGCGGCACAATAAGCCTCGTTTGAGCTAATGATGTGACGGGATGATCAGGCATCTGAACAGGTGCCTGTAGCAGAATGAGGCTCCAGGGCTGTCATCTCGAGTCAAAAAACTCATCCTTAGTAGAGTTCTGTATTGACCGGTGTCGAGGCTCAGGTGACGCCGCCATCCGGAGTTTCAGAGTGTGGCAGCCATGGCTGTGAGGACATGAAGAGACGAAAAGATATAAGACCTGGAAGAGCGATGTCTCCCAGGTTTTGATTGTGTTCCCACTTTGAGCGTCTATCTGGATAACTCCTTCAACTTCTTACTATTACATTCTTTCCGTGCTGTGCGCGGCTCTTTTTAATCGAGCGACCATTCATTACACGACCTGGAGTCCACTCTCTCATATTGTTTACTCTCGTAAAACCCACACCAATCTATCAGCATGAAGTTCTCCGCTGCTGCTTTTGTTGCTCTCGGCCTCTTGGCTGGCAACGTTCTTTCTGGTATGTGCATTTGATGAACTCTTCCCCGTGTTTCTTGTGGCTAACAACCCAAAACAGCCCCCACCGTCGATGCTAGCGACGTCGCCCTCCCCATCGAAGTCCGTGCCGAAGACTTTGTGGCAAACGACGCCGCCCATCTCGAGGCCCGAGCCAAGAAGAAGAAGAACGCCAAGGCCGCTGGTGCAAAGGCAAAGGGTGCCGCTGCTAAGGGCAATGCCAACGCCAACGCGAAGAAGGCTGCCAACGCCAACGCCGGAGCTGCTGCCGCCGCCAAGAAGAACAACGGCAACGCAAACGCCGGCGCGGCTGCGAAGAAGAACAACGGCAATGCGAATGCGAAGAAGAATGCTGGCAACGCCAACGCAAAGAAGAACAACGGCAACGCCGCTACCGCACCCCCCGCCAATGCCGCGCAGTTCTCCGGTCTGGCTTGCACTGATGGCAAGGGTGCTGGATCTTGCAACGCCCAGGGACAGTGCGCTGTCAACGGAAAGACCACGGCGATTGCTGGCCAGTGCGGTGTCGCGGCTGCGAAGAAGAACAAGCGTTGGGTCTCCGACATTGCTCATCTGATCTAGATGATTTTCACTATGTTCTTTCTTTAACGGTTGGGTGGAGCATCGGGACTTGGATGTAGTTAGTGGAAATGACCTCATGAATAAGGGCGGGTAGCCTTGGAGTAATGCTTTCTCCGAAAACGTGTAATCAAAATGGACTCATGCTTTTGGTTTTAATCCGGCTCGCTCGACTACTACATCATGATTTCGGCTGACTGCCGTAGGGATCCATGGATGCTAAACATCATATGACACCGTACACCGATCATCAAGCAATCAAAGAAACGCAGAATTGAAAACAGTTTCTGTCAAAACAGACCTGAGCTCCCGAACATGTGAGTAGTACATACTACTTCATTCACACCGTGAACAATACATTTGTCTCATCGACCCTGCGCGCTTCGAACTCCTTGTGGCCACTGATCTGAAGAGCAGTGCGGATGAAATCTCGCGCAGCTCTTACACTTCTCCCAAGGGGAGAGACCATGTAAACTGGGAATGTTCGACACCACGGACAGTCATCTTCAAGATGATGGAGGTCCATGGTAATAGCATCGAACAACCTTTCCCAAAATACCATGTCTCGTTGTTGGGCAGTCTGTCCCCGTTCTCCATCGTCTCCTTTCAAAGCGCCGGCTCCTTTAACATGTCGTCTACTCGTTATCGCGGTGCCCATGACAAGTAACCACTCTTGCTCGCTACACGCGAAGCCACCCTTGATCAGAATGAGAGCTGATCCGATATGCCAGTTTTTCGCAGCAGATACCATGGGCATGAGATGGGTTATGCTCAAACCAGGCTTTGTTTTCTTCGCATATGCCTCGACGCACCTCAAACTAGGCCCGTAAGGACTGGCGCCTCCAATCAGCAGCGAAGTCAACTTGGACTCATCCCCGCACTCGGCGGCGATCTCGATGGGAAAGCTCCCATCATCAGGCTGTTCCGCAGACAGCCAAGGTAAGCTGCAAGTCTTTTCCCATCTGCTCATCCAGTAGGTTCTATCATTTGCGTGGGCAGAATCTAGGATCATGCCGAATATCTGCGCATAACCATGGGATATTGCTTCCTCCAAGCCTGTTTCTACTCCTCGATGCTGCGGCCCGTACGTCGGATACCGCCATCTCCAAACAGGGTCTCGTACAGGAGGCTCCTGAAGTGAATAAGGGCAGTTCAGCAAAAGTCGCAGTGCGTCCATTTGCCGATTGCATACAACTTGCATAAGCAAGTCTGCGAACTCTCCTCGCAGCATCCGACCGTCTGAGCACTCAAGCAGAACTGAGAATGTCTCCACATCCCCATACTTGAGTGCCATTCGACAAAAGTAGGTATCGTAGTACTTTTTAATCTTTTTCTTGCTGCCGTCTGGTGCCTTGTAACTTTTGCCCCGCGACATGTCAATCTCGTACTTCACCAGGAGAGCGGCAAGGTTCTGATTGCCACTTCGAATCGCCGCCTCCAGAAGAGAGCCGAGCAGAGGCTTCTTCCTTGACAGTTTCTTTCGTTCAGCATGATCGGAAGACTCGCCCGTCGCAATGTGTTGGTAGGAAGACAGAGCTTTTGGTCCGTGTGTGAGAATCTTTGAGAGTATCATATTATCGACGTCAGATCTTCTGAGGTAGATTTTGGCCACAAGTAAGAGGCTGTCGATTGTGTCTTTGGTGATTGTAGACTTTGAGGGGAACAGGGCGGATTGAAAGTAAGGATGAAACAGCGTCCATATTCCGTATCGCGTCGTGATGTTTGCCAGCGATGGCTGGGGATGAATGGCATAGAGACACAAGCCATGTACGTAACTAAACCTTCGCTTTCTTGTAGGATCTTTGCCATCCTGTTGCATGAGTTTATCCGCGAGTGAGTTTATGACGCTCGACAGGTTCGCATTCCACGGCAGGTGTTGGTATGGCTGTTGGTAGATGTAACGCGCCAAGAAAGCACTTGCATCACCGTTTTCCGTGAGTTTGTAGTCCGCGGAGGCTCTGCCGGCTGTAGTTTGAGCCCTTTGGTGCAGGATGGTGGCTTCGCGGTTCTTTCGCATCCTTCTCAGTAGTCTTGTTCGTGAAATTGCCCCCATGACTTCTGTTTCGAAAAGCTCTACAGTTGTCAGATTTATGTCATGTCATTCATAGATTCAGGTTGCCTTACTGCAAACTCTCATAAGCCGGACTGCATCCCGGAGGTTGGTGTCACTCTCTTCGCTGTACTCCACAACCTCGTCCAAAATCTGGCATAGGCACTCTGTTGGAAGACACAATAAGTTAATCCTCCGTGTCACCCTCGTGAACTTGGGCCGCGAGGCCAGTTCCATGATCTGTTGTGTCTTCATTTTGAGTAGCAATACATGTGGTTAAATAAGATAATGTCAGAAGGAGGATCAAAATGCAGACACAGCGGGAGTATTTGGTTGCTTTAAACGACAACAAACAAAATCCAGTCTTGGTACTTTTGCTCAGGTTATGTCGATGGACGGAGTGAGAGAATTATACTTTGGATGACTCTGGCCTATTTTGACTCACCACACACCACCCCTGCAATGAGGCCAAATTTCTCCCAGGGCGCGTTACCCATGACCGCCCCTGCGTAATCGCTACCGAACTTCTCTGCGATATACACTTAGTCCCATGGCAAGTGCCTAGTATTACCTGCGTGACTCTTCTGGTGCTTTCATAATTAGGAGCCCCCAAGCTGGGTCAAGAGACCCTCATTTCTCGATGGCCAGACATTCCCTACATTCGGGAGTGCCCGAAGAGTATCAAGGTTGTGATTGCCCGTCTCGATTACGACGCCCGAGAAGATCGCGTGGTCGAAGCGCTTGACGACCTTGGTTCTCTCATCGGCAGTCAGTTTTCCGATCAGCTCTTCTCTGTCTGCGTCCTAGAGGCAACCGTTAGCTGTATGCATCAAGATAGCGGGTACACTAGGGCTCCGATGGCGGGGAAAGCGCACCTTGCTGCTGCCAAACTCCACGATGAACTTCTCGCCCATGATGACCAGAGTGCAGTACGTGACGAGGAAGAACAGGTGTGATAGCATTGATCGGACTATTGTTGAGGGTTGTTGAGGGGAGGCAGTATTCTCAGCTTGTTGTTGCAGACATGAAATCGCGTGTTTTTTCCGAAGTGCAGCGTGATGACGCATTGGCACGTGCGACACAAGAGCTGTTCACACCTTCCTAAATGGGCCTTTCTAGGAAGAAGGACAACACCGAAGGCCAACACCGAAGGCCAAAGTCATCGCGAAAGCACTTATCAAAACAATAATGCCAAACCTTTGAGTCGTTTCTTTTTTTTTTCTTGAAATGACTCGCTGTACGTAGTGACCATTGAATATGCTGGGACGAAGCTGCGATGGCAGCCAAACCTTGTGCGCTCGAGCAATCCCTGGAAGTCAATGCTCGGACAGAGTTCATCCTGTCAACTCTAAAGGTTCACTATCACATCCGCTGTCAACTAAAACGAATTAATAAAGTTAAGCTCAGAATTATGCTTGAGTAGCTTAAGTAGATTTTGGCTGCCCAAGGAAACATGTTCGCGTTATGGAAACTACAATAACAAATTATTGATTGATGTGACCGCTGTATTCAACCTCGTCCAAGTGGCCACGGGGTATCCAATATCGCTGTCATTTTATGGGCACAATTCCGCAAACAACGCATTCATGCGAGACTGAACGAACATCCTGAAACTGATGGCAGGTCGGTCAGCATCTGTACCGGTTCTCGACTGTTATTCGTGAGATATCTTACCCACTTTGCTCTTCAAGCAGAGCACTTGCCCTTGGCGTAGTAGCCGCATCGCACAGCGTAGTTGCCAATCTTATCGGGAATGTCATAATCCTTCGTCCCACTTCTAGCACCCCGGCAGATACCGCACCGGAAGTCCGGGTTGGTAGCAGAGTTGGAGAGATTCGATTCGTCACTGGCCATCTTCCCGCCGATATCGTTCTCGCAGTACCAGATGGCATTGGAAGTTGGAATGCCCTCGTACAGAGAGGTATCGACATGCGAGTTGTAGAAGAAGGCGCAGTCCTTGGCAGCGACGGCTGCGGCCAAGGTGGCCAATATCAACGTACCGAAGCCTTGCATGGTGATGAAGCTTGTTGCAGCTGTGGTGGAGATTGGTTGTAATTCGTAAATCGTAGCAAACCGATCGTGCCACTTTCGTGGCGTCTATTCGCTTTTAAAAGGTTTCTGAGACCATGGTGCTGTACTGCTAACTGTCGGACCGGGCCTTCCTGGCACTGACTCGTGGCATCACCAAGACCTGAAGTTGTTCATTAAAAAGAGTTGCGGATCTACGTGCCATGAATCAGAAACAACCCCTAAAACCAATTACAGGTCTGTCTTGATTGATTAAATCTAGCTGCAAATAGCCTAGGAAGTCCCAGTCAAATTACCAGGCCTAATCTTTGACACGGATTCTCGCATTCGTTATCCGAGAACTGTCATGTGCACTGCAAACGTACAGGAGGAACACGGTGCGCGATGACTGCCACGATTGAGTACCATTGGGGCTTTCCAATCAGGTGCTGTTGTATCAAAATACATCCTCGTTATCGGTCAACGTCGGTCAACGGAAAAGTCCGCGCCGCAATGCTTCCAGAAGGCTCTTGTATTCTTCCTGTCTCACGTCATATTTATGGTTCTGGACAAACAGCTCAATGCCCCATAAGCTTCTGCTCAGTCCCTTGTAGATAGACGTCGCAATTACATAGAATTGCATCTAGCACGGCGACGCTCCTTTCAAATACGCATGTGCAGAAATACGCAGCAAGTGCATGGAAAGAAAATTGCCTTTTAGTCACTCTCCAAATCAGAATCTTGTTCAACACCCTTGAAAAAGTGTTAGGGCGGACACAATGGGAATGGGATATGCTGAGGCAATATTGAGTTGAAGCTTATCAAGATGCGGTCTTACTACATTGTCTAGCCTCTGAAGGGAGAAGTACATCAAGTAGAACAGTGTATATGCGGAGCTTCTATTGCGATTCTGCTTTTGAGAGTATGGAGACAAACGGAAAGAACAGAGGCAGAAAAGGCCATTTACTTGACGTTGTTCTTGCTACATCTCACACTTGTGATGATCACTACGCAGAAAATGATTTTACTGTGTTCATTAGAATCTGGGTGAACGGGAATTGGATCAACTTTGTTTGCATAAATTCAACTTCAATGACTCTAAAGACAAAAGACTTCCACCGCAAGCGTATAAGGTCTCTGCTGAATTCAATACACAGCCATGGCAAGTCTGTGATTGAGATGCCAATCAAGTCAACTCTTGAAAATCAAGGCTATCTTAACAGGGGCAACTGGGCCGTTACAAGCTTCTTAGCGCGAGCGCTGGGGTTCGAGTTGTGGTGACGGTAGTAAATAAGTTGTAGTATGAGAGCATTGTGTGTTGAGGTCGGCTCTTATTTGTTACTAATTCCGAGGTTGCGGAGTTTTGCAGCTCGGTTTTCAATCCTAGCTATTCTGGGTCAATATTCCGTGCCGACGGGAGCGCCACGTCATCGGTGGGCATGATTAGGTACTCAAAAGGCGTGGAAGACATCTCGTTTCTGCCAGCAAAAGACTCTTCTCATCCGTGCATCGCGAAAAACCTCAAAGCGCACAACACCAGATTTGTAAGCTCTGGACGATTGTAAGGGCTTTTGTCGCTTTTTGGGTGCCGCGAAACCCAAACCTCAATCCACTCCGCCGATCGCCCAACATGGTTTACAGTGCGGAGCAACTCGACCAATACTTTGACCACATCAACTACCCTCGCGAGAAGCATGCATCGGACCCGCTTCAGAGTCTTACGGAGATCCAGGCACACCATCTTGCGAGAGTGCCGTTCGAGAGCTTGACACTACACTACTCGAAACACAGGCTGATCTCACTAGATCTGCAGGACCTATTCCGCAAGATAGTGATTGAGGGCCACGGCGGCTACTGCATGGAGGTGAACGCCTTCCTCGGCGCGATTTTGAAATGTTTGGGCTACACTGTCCTCAGCGTTGGTGGAAGGATCAAAGGAGATGAACGTTTCGGTGGATGGTGAGTTTCGCGACTTCAACGTTGCGAATCGTCTAGTGATGACTCATTGATCCCAGGTCGCATATGGTCAATCTCATCCGCATTGGCGGACAGCGTTATATGGTCGATGTCGGCTTCGGAAAAGGTGCAGCAATGGTGCCCGTACCTCTGAATAGCGGTCATGAGTTTACCACCATCGCGCCATTGAAGGGCAAGCTTGTCTACGAGAAATTGGAGCAGCACACAGACTCCGACCAGCGCATGTGGGTATACTACTCCACAGACAGCGCCGATGGGCCCTTCAGGCAACGTAACTGCTTCACCGAGATGGAATTCTTCCCGGAAGACTTTGAGGTCATGAACTTGGCCACCATGAGCAGGCCGACGAGTTACTTTGTCAAGACCGTTCTTGCCATGAGAACGATCTTGGACCCCGAAACACGGACAGCGGTGGGAACTCTTGTTTTGCATAAGGATGAGGTTAAGCAGAAGATTGGCGACAATCTCGAGCTCCTGGAAACACTAAAGAATGAGGCACAGCGCGTTGCAGCTTTGGAGAAGTACTTCTCGATTAAGCTGAGGCCAGAGGAACAGAGAGCCATCAAGAACATGCCTACGGAGCTGTTGGAGAGTAAATAGACGGATCTGATTGATAAACCATTTGATGATATATAGTAGAGTTCTGCAGCCCCTATTTCATTTCTGCAGTCTCCGCGTGTGAGCCTTCGACAGTCTCGCGCTCCTTCTCATGCAGCCTGTTCTCCAAGTCCCGACTGTGGTGTCTCCTAGTGGTCTTTCCTGCTACGAACCAGCTGTTGCTAGAGAACAGTTCGTTCATCTCTTCCAATGGACGGCCCTTGGTCTCGGGAAGGAAAGCCCAGAAGAAGATAGCATTGGTGATGTTACAGACGACGAACAGGAAGTAGAACCTGTAGCCTACAGACTCCATGGCCTCCGGAGTTACTTGGCCCTGCAAAGATTGTCAGGATCTGTTCGAGCACAATTAAGATTCAATTCCACTTACTATCATAGTGTTGAAAGCAAATGATACCATGGTGGTGATGCTGACACCCTTAGCACGAGTTCTCGTATCGAAGACTTCGGCGCAGATGATCCAACTCAGTGGCCCATTGGTGGCGCTGAAGGAGAAGTTGTACAGCCAGGTGACAACAATGAAGCCCCACTGAGCGCTCAGGTTATTCGATTCGCCCGGAGGAAACTTGGCCAGAAGAACCGCGGCGATAATGAAGGTCACAGAGTTGAACAGACTGCCTCCAATAAGGGGCCAGCGACGGCCGAGTCTGTCGACAAGCAGCATTGCGCAGATTTGGGCGATGATCGCTAGGCCATTGCTGATACCTTGATACTTCAGCGTGTCGTCGGTTGCAATACCTATTTGCTCGAAGATACGAGGAGAGTAGTACTGTAATTCGTTAGTTCAGGACTGTTGGTGTCATTCTCATGTGACAGCATACCTGAATCGCCGAGACTCCAGTCATTTGAACCGATGCTTGAACAGCACAGCAGAGGAACAGACGCCGAAAAGAGCTCTTGGAGCGGAAGAGTTCCATATAAGACTTGGCTTCATTGTGGTGCTCGTGAGAGATGGCTGCCTTGATTTGCTCATACTCGGCCCGGACGAAAGGGTCGTCGACGTTGTGGTTCGCGTGGAGTCGTGCCAGGGTCTTGAGCATGTCCTCGTCTCTTCCCTTGTCACCAAGCCATCTGTGAAGCATGTCAGGTTTTGTGGTTGTCACTTGAAGGACCTAACTTACCTAGGACTTTCCGGGAACAAAAAGGTCAGAAGAGCGAGAAGCAGTGCTGGGATGTTCTGGATCGCCAGCGGAATCCGCCATTGCGCACTCGTCGTGGTCAGGTTGGTATAGCAACCCCATCCAACCCATGTCGCAACGAATGCTCCGATACCGATCATGAGTTGCTGCAAAGCCGTGACGGTTCCACGGATGCTTGGGTGAGCTAGCTCGGCCTGGTAAAGGGGGACGATCATGCAGAGAGCTCCGACACCGATTCCGGAGATGAACCGGCCAGTCCACATCATGTGGATATCACGGGCTCCCGTTTGGAGACCTCCTCCCAGCAAGAAGAACACGGCTCCGGTGACGATGGTTCCTCGTCGGCCGAGGCGGTCTCCGAGAGGACCAGCGGCTCCGGCCCCGAAGAAGGCGCCCGCCGTGAACATTGATACGACAAGGCCTTCAGTGGACGTGTCTGGACTGAAAGCATCTTGGAAGGTATTTGATGCTACGACTGCCGCGATAACACCTAGGTCGTAACCGAAAAGAAAGGCTCCGAGGGATGCAAAGACTCCCACGAGCCATTGATAAACTTTGGGGGAAAGAAGCGCCATTGTGACAGGAGATCCGTAGATCTATGGAGACCACTTGGGATGCAGAGTGCTATTCTCTCCATAACATCGCTGTCGTTGATCCATCCTGTCGACCTCTTATACCAGCGCCGATCCGGGGAAGTAGAGTAGCCGCCTGTTGTGGGGCAGTGTTCCGGGTCCGCAATTTCGGTCGCTTCGGTAGACCAACACCCCGGACTCAATTCTGGTTCGCGCGGCTCTGAGTACGGGTCTTGGTACCTTGCTTGGCTCTCAATAGTGACGCAAACGGCCAAGGGCTGCTGAACGCGCTTCTTGGACATAAACCTTGCCGAGGCAGGCCACCTGACAAATCACACCACGTTTTCTTGCACTGATTGAATGTCAAAGGGACATTTGAGTGCGTCGTGACGTCGATTCTTTCCCTATGGAATTCGGTACCCGGCATGTCACCCGATCTAGATGCAGCACAGTGGAACCCAACGGGGACTCGGAGGCCTTTGACAGCAACAGCGCCAATCCGGATCAGTAGCGAGCTTGAGGATCCTCCAAAGTTCTGGCAAAGAGAATTATTGGATGTCTTCTCAGAAATGCGACAAAAGGAAACGGATTTCCGAGGCGTTATGTGAAGGAACACGCATCGACCGAGGCCGAACGCGGGAGCCGGCGGCCGGCTTTCCCTCGGGACCCACCCGTCGGCCTTTGAGTCCGGCCCCAGGTTTCGGTGCAGCGGCCAAGAAGATGACAGATGGGAGCCTGGAGGAAAACGTGACTTCGCGTTTCCCATTGCCCCGCACACGTCTGGGCGAACGCGTCAACAAGAAAGCAACAGGCACGACTGCTGTGGCTCCCCAGCTTTGATAGATCACCCTCGCGTCAGTCTAGTCATTCGTTTCTCGCAACTCTGGGCGTCAAGCTTCGTAATCATCAGCCATCATGCCTGATAATCGTCTTGAAGATCCTCCATCTGAGAATGGCCCTCGACCCAAAAAGAGAAAGATTCGGAAGGGTACAACAAGCTGTTGGGAATGTAAGGACGCCGGAAACCACGCCGCAAGATTTGTTCGCGTGCTGATCGGTATCTGCCAGGCAAGAAACGAAAGATACGATGCCAATTCGCCTCTGCATCTCACGAGATTTGCGAGGGATGCGAACGACGCGGAACAGCATGTTTGACGCAAGAATACGACAACGAGACCACAGACCAACGCGGTGCCGAAACGAGCAAACACAAGGAAACTGAAGAGAGGCTAAAAAGGGCCGAGGAACTTCTCGAGAGAATGATGGACGCGGCCACCCGTTTGACACCAGCGACAGAGTCCCTCGTTCCACCAGGGGGGCAATCGCCAGTTTACGTTCATAAAGAGCGTCAGTTATCTAGCAAATTTCTGTCACAGTCAGCATCTCCATCGTCATGTCCTAGCATCCAGGTCTTTGACAGTACATTGGTATGTTTCCCAAAATCCTCATTATGGGTAGTCAACTAAATGAAGTAACAGGTTGACGAAGGTGTTGACCTGCCGGACAATCTTGGACAAGGTCCGCCTCAGACTCGTCAAGATCGATATCAGAACCTCTGCACACAGCTTCACGAAGCCATGCCCACCCAACGAGAGGCCAACTTCATCATCTCTGCAGGACACACAGCCGCGTTTCTCCAGTTTTTCACACTTCCCTACCGCGACCTATTCAGCGGCAATATGCGTCCGTCTTCTTCGCTTTCTGCCCTGCCTGATCAATCAGATCACCCTGTTCTCCTGGCAAGGACTCTCTTGTACCTCGCCAACGGTCTTCAGAATCTTCATCCGTCTACTCTTAATACGCATCTTCTTAATCTTGACCGGCCATTGGAGGCCATGATCGGGTTCATTCACGCGGCTTCCCTGGTCACCAAAGACGATGAGCTCATATGTTCCCTAGAGGGCCTCGAATGCCTCATCCTCGAGGCTGTGTTTTATACCAACACGGGCAAACTCCGCCAGGCCTGGCTCATCATCAAACGAGCCGTCGGGCATGCCCAGCTCTTGGGGCTCCATCGCAAACAGCCTAAGAGCTATGTCATCCTCGACCCGATGTCGAAGGCGTCGCCCTCCATCATGTGGCATAGGATTGTTAGTCAAGATAGATACTTGTCGCTCATGCTAGGTCTCCCTGCTACCACAGCGAGCTATGCATCCCCTGAAGTAGCTTTCGTACCAGGGGAGTGCCCTAGCGAGTATCTTGAGCGCGCCCACTCCACGTTAATGGGCCGCATAGCTGCCAGGAATGACGAAGATCAAGATATACATGACCTTTCCATCACCCAAAGCATTGATCGAACAATTCAGGAAGCGGCTCAAAGCATTCCTCCCGAGTGGTGGTTTCTGCCTAACACCAGAAACAAAAACATGCCTGCTGAGCCGGATGGCTCACAAACCCTGGAGGGCATCCTGCGTGTGCTTCTTCAAATCACACACTACAACCTTCTCATCCTTCTCCATCTGCCATGCATGCTTCGGCCATCTGGCGAAAGCACCCACAAATACAGCAAGGTTGCATGTGTGAACGCCAGCAGAGAGCTTCTAAGCCGCTACATCAAGTTTCGATGCATGAACCACAATGCCTTTTGTTGTAGGAGCATCGACTTCTCAGCTTTTACAGCCTGCCTGGCTTTTGTGCTAGCGCACATTGAGAGATGGCGAAGGGGAACGGAGGCGGTAGACTTCCTGGCCCATCAACGGCTGAGCGATCGGGCTGTAGTTGAAGAAGCTGTCGAGCTCTTCTTGGAGGTGAATGAATCAAGCAGTGATGGCTTGCTGGAACACACTGCTTCTATACTGAGGTCCTTGCTGGACATGGAGGCTGATGCTGCCGCTCAAGCGACTTCCCCAGTTGATCTCATCGCTGCAGAGACTCGGCACTCGCGTCGCTGTCTATATCTCAAGATACCGTACTTCGGAGCCTTGACTATCACTCGTCATGGGATATCTTCAAAATCAGCATCGGTCGCCTCCTCATATTTGACCCCCTATGCAACAGATGGAGATTTAGGGAACACCGATTTCCGCATATCCCATCAACAGTACTTCCTATCCGACGGCACCAGTTCGCTTGGGTCCGCATTTCTCCCCAATGACTCCGAGCAAAGCAACCTGTACTCGGGCTTGCCTGCCAACCCAGAGGACTGGTTGCTGTACCCTCACGACGGTGGTCATATTGGCGAGGATACCACCTGTCCGTCCGCCGAAGTTAACACAGATATACCAGAGGTATTGGCGTATTCTTGGCCGTAGATGATCTCGAACCGTTTGCCTCGGCATCGGTCTCTCTCTGGTCATGATGGTGCTCAAAATCGGGACGAAGGGCTGGTCTCAGTGGTCTGGGAACCAAGGAACGTAGGTGCGAGAGAGGTCTCATCTTTATAATGTCTTCACACCGTTATCGTCCTACTGCAATTTGGGCCTTAAGCCAATACCCAACGCTCCAATTATGGATCTTTGTCGTACTGTTCTCTCCATCGAGTTCTGATTATGAGTTCGAGAATTGCAATGTAAAATAGCTCTAGAGGCGTCCTTGATAGACTTCATGGTTCCTAGATCTATTTTTTACAAACTACTATCGGTATCACTTAGTGATTATGTGCAGGGAGTAAGCAGTGACTCGATGTCTAAGTCTGTAAAAGAATCTTCACCATAACATCCCGAAGTGCTGGAATGCCTTTCTACACATGGTTTTTGATTATCTGTAAGCCCTACTGAGTGGTCTGGTGCAACTCAAGGCAATTTTGACCGTCCGTAATTCAAGGCAGCAGCACTCACTTCACTGCTGCATGCCCCAAAACTTCTTTGGACACCTTGCCCCTAGGTCACCATCATAGCAGCGCCGCATCTTAAGCGGCATTCCGCGCTCATATTAACTGAGAATCTATTCTCACACTTAGTTCCGACTTTGTCGCAACTCATGCTCTCAGCCATGTTCTGAGACGAGTTTCTGTACACTTTTTCACGAAGCTACCAAAACCTTTTCTGATCACGTTCGGGCCGTTCATGAGTACATTATCACGGAGACTTTCGTTCCTTAGCAGATAGTCTCTTCAACATGAGTGGTAGGGACAGCCTCGCTCGCCACAAATAGGCGATTCCTGGTCCCGCTGGCCAATGAACTATGGTAGCAGCAATTGAGTTTAGATTCTGTCTTCTTAATTCACCACTACTGCATAGTACATATCTTACTCCCCGACGCTTATCCATGCGCCAAGAAGGGGGCAGTAAAGCTCTGGTGTTCAACCGAATAACACGATTAAAGCGAAGGAGAGAGCGAAAACGAGAGCCTCCCGTCGGCTGCCTTGCCCGCGAACAATATCCTGCAAGCTCAGCCTTTCCGCCTTGAACTCATTCAGGTGCAACGAAATACACCGCTTGGCAACGCTTGGCCCGACACTTCAATTGAGTTTCCCGGTTAATTCAACCAAGACAACTTTCGTGACTTTCCTATTTGAGCTCGAGTAGGAGCTACAGCAATTCGACAAACCATGACTCGACCCCGCTTTGCCCGCGTCCCCTTTCCCCTTCTCAAACGCGAATAAATGCCCCCAAGAAATGATCGTCGTGTCACAGTCGCAAAAGATCTCGTCTCAAAGACCGCCAAGACAGCAGGAGCTGTGTGATCTGCACGCGACAGCTCGCCAACTCCTGCCTCCTTCACCCCTCCGCCCGGTGTCGCACTAATGTATGCTTATAATAGTCTAAACGACCTCACCCTTGATCCCGTCCCCAGCCGCATTGGAACGTTCAACGTATGGTTCGTGTAAATCCTCGGGATCTTTGCCGTGCGTTCTGATACCAAAGTCTAATGGCGGCGGCGGCGTGGAGATTGTG